ATATATATATATATATATATATATATATATATATATATATATATATATCGATGCACTTGAAGGTTCTATACATGAACGAATCGTTTCCTACAGGGAAGGGTGCAGATATTCAGCACATAGATGAATTCTTCACAGAAGCAGCTCTGATGACGTCATTTCGCCATGATCACGTGTTGGCACTACTCGGGATTTGCTTTGAAGTCGACGGCAACCCTTTGATTGTATTACCATATATGGCCAATGGAGACCTTAAAACCTACCTCGAGGATTCCACGAATGTGCGTAACAATTTTCGTGTGTTTACGAAACCGTAATATTTATTCAAGATCATATTGACTGAAAAGTTGAATTAAAAAAAAAGCTTATTGAAAGATTAGAGAAGATAATTAAGAGGAATATTAGGAGATGCAATATTTTAAATCCAGACCTGCTGAAAGCGCCTCTCTGCACATGAGCTTCAAATTTAGAATTGCAATTTAATATAGGAAATATCGTATTGTTTTTATACTATGAATGCTATGTTACCTTAGGCACCCACGGAACTGCAGCTGCTGCAGTTTGGTTTGGACGTAGCTTGGGGCATGGAATACCTTGCTGAAAACAAATTTGTTCATCGGGATTTGGCTGCAAGGAACTGCATGTAAGTTTTACACAAGAAGAATGCTTGATAGTAAAGCAGTTGTTTTAAACCACTAAATAAGTTAAACATCCACTTTGCGGTGAGGTATTCAAACTATATATCAGCTGAAGGCAGGCGAAAGACTGAACAAATAAAGTGAGATGAATGTCAAATTGCAAGAAAAAAGTCGACAAATGGGTAAATTATATCCTAGGATAAAAATATCCTATTTTTTCACATTTTTCAGGCTTGATGACCAACTGCGCGCCAAGGTGGCCGATTTTGGACTGACTCGCGACGTGTACACCACTGAATACTACAGCTCCGGAGACAAGCAGGCCAAGTTGCCGGTGAAGTGGATGGCACCAGAGTCCATGGAGAGGGACGTTTACACATTTAGTTCTGATGTGGTATGGCATGCGGTTATATCTAGTTTTACTTCGAAGGTTACTCCTTTCAACACTATCGGACGATGTAACATATTTGATTTTAAAATTAATAAGTTGTTGGGCCCAAGAAATCAATTTTATTTTAAATGTGTAAAATGACTGTTTGATACAAAATACGAAATATGAAATTAGAATTAGGAATGTCTTGTATAATCAAGAAATATGACCTAGAAAGTACGCCGTCTAATTATCGTAATGTTAGTGTATAATGTCCATAATCGCCTTGCAATAACTGCCCCGGCTGCTGAAGCTATTTAAACCTTTTATTGTCTATATATCGCATTGCATGCTATCCATATTTAAGGGAGACGGAGAATGTCAAGACACGGTTATCATTACATAAAGCTTTCTCTTGTCATTATATTATATTATATTATGTTTTGTTATGTTATATTATATTATATTACATCATATTCACCCATGGCCAAGTTATTATTATCATTATATAAATATTTCTATTGTCCACAGTGGTCTTATGGCGTCCTACTTTGGGAGCTGTTCACCCGTGGTAAGGTGCCGTACCCTGGTGTAGACGAGTGGGATGTTCTAGAGTTCTTAAAACTTGGGAGAAGACTGGGCAGACCCGAGTACTGTCCTCAGCACGTGTAAGTTATTGTCTCGGTTTCAAAAAAAGGCAAGGCAGGTTGGAGGCTAAGAACACAATTATCAACGTTATCCAGTATATGGCCACATGCCTGCCTACATGAACTGTATTACAGCACATTCGTGGGAATCTTAGTCAGCTAAGCCAGAGAACTGGCTTTAGTTCTTCACTGTGGAATTAGGGCCTGACTAACAACCCAGTCAGTCCACGGGTATATACAACTACATTCAGTGTTCATAGCAAAGAGATATGTCTCCTCTGACATCAGTCTTGATAATTTATAGGGCCTATATATAATGTTCTATTTCTGTATTTCTGTGAGAGTGAAAACTTAATTTTTCAGTATTATATAACATGTTGTTATAACAGGTTTTAAATTATTTAAGTTCTCGTATTTGGTGCTTTGTATATTTCTGCCTGCTGAGTCCGCGCCTCCTTGTATCAGCTGTATGTTCGTGTACCTGTATATACACTTACATGTAGGCAGGCAAAATCCATATATACTGCATGTATGGACGGGTTTGGGAGTTGGGGTTATCCGTTAACCATCAAAATTATAGCGGATTATGGAAAAGGCTTTGAAAGTACACTGTTGCTTACAAATAAATGCTGGCAGTGGCGGATTTAGGGAAGTCAGGTGGTCCTGACCCCCCCCCCCCTTTCGCTTTCTGGAAAAAAGAACACACCAATGGTCCCCTCTTGAAATACGAATTTTGACTAGTTGAATCATAGTTTTACACCGTACCGAATGGCACCGTTCGCACTCTAAAATACCAAAAAATTCCGGGACCCTTCTGCGGACCCCGAACCCCACGCCGATAGGGGAAGAAGGGGGGGGGGGGGATCGGCTTCATATCTACGGCCTGTCAGTCCTACAACTGGAAGCTTTCTTTAAATAATCCTGAATCTGCCTCTATGTTTCACGTACTGATATATGGGCTATGTTGATAATAACATTGTATTTTGATGCCGTCGTTGTTCTCTTGCTTGTATCCATTTTGTGCCTACCCTGTCGTCTGGTACAATTCCAGGTACCAGCTCATGCTGAAGTGCTGGTCGTGGGAACCAGAGGAGCGGCCAGACTTCACCTCTATAGTAACACATATAGAGGAGACAGTGAGAGACAACACGGAAGTTGGTGGAGAACCTTGGGACACAGGGGAGGATGATTACGACGCATATACTGAAATGGACTAATGACGGACTGGGTATATTATCTGTAGATCTACATTATTGAAACTAATCTATTTTTGGACTGTGATTTTCAATAAGTTTTGACGATGACAACGTTGATTCTTCTTCACTAGAACTTGTTGTATTTTAAAATGTCAAATAACTTTATAATTTTCATGTTTCACTGTTTTTACGAAAAATAAAAAATAAACTGCGGACAAAAACTACAAATAAACTAGACGCTGCATATTTCCATCTCTATCTCCCCCCAATTTGGGTATTGAAGGCGGTCACTTATGTTACAAAGGGGCGGGCGGAGGGGTAACAGTTACACTGTACTACTGCTGAGGTGATCAGTTACATATAGCAGCAGGGAAATGATCAGAGAGAGATCTAGACTAGTTGCATGGACCGCATTCTGGTTAGTCCCTTTCTGGTTGACAAATTGTAATTGCAGCATACTCGGTTTTAACGCAGATATCATTATTTTAAAATAATTTTTGATACTTTTTTTCATTTATTAATACCTCCTCAAGGGTGAAAGACAAAAGAGTACATACATAAAATCGCACACATAATTCACATGGTGAAATCACATAATTAAGCTGTGTTAAAATAGGTGAAGAATTAAAATGCAGTCAGTTTGAAATATTGTACAGAATAGTATTAAAATGAATAAAGTGATTGCAATTCAAAAAATTTTAGTTAAAAGTTGAACTATGCTATATTCGACGGTACAAGCATTACATGCACCACTCATGTTTCATTTTTTATTAGAGATTTTCCGGAAAAGAGCTGGTATTCACTGTATGCTAACTACAATTGACAAGTTTTACTTATCATGGCAATTGAGAAAAAATTTAGCATTACTATTGATCGAATGCACAGCCGGTCAATTTCAAGTTTTTTAACCGTATACTCCGTTGCTGACATTTAAATAAAAGGGAACCTGTAAAAATCCACTGTCATTTACCAGTGGATAAGTATATGTTTTTTAGTTTTTCTGTCTATCGGTGTTTACACAGCATATACATGCAGGTACATTCTACATTTAATAGCGGTAGTACAAAAAGAGATGATATTAAACGGTTGTTTTTTTCACGCTTTTAAATTTTCAGTGAAATATTCATGATATAATTTCAGTGAATTAAAGTGAGCGAAAGAGAAAATAATATAAATAATAATTTCCACCACAAAATAGATAGGTAGATTAAGTATTTACTTTTTTTAGTGAAAAAAGTATTTCAATACTGGATGCGTGTTTGACCGCAATTTTCAATACCAACCTTGTAGTTTTGAATAATTATGATAACATAAATCTTCGTTCAAGTTGTGAGAAATTACTCTTAATTTTAAATATATCAAATTTAGTACCTGACTTAAAACTAAGAAGACCCTCAATAGCGTGTCGCTTCTGAAAGGGCTACCGCAAAGTGCTCAATTTTGACAGAATGTTAAAATGCTATTAAAACCACATTTCAGCTGCTATTAGAGGTCACAGAAACGACCCGCAAGAAAACGCAGTAGATACTCCAGCGCAGTAGACTACTGCAATCATACTGCAAACGGCAGTAGACTACTGCAATCATACTGCAAACATGCTTCAAATCTGCTTCGATTTGGGAGCTAATTAGCATATTTGAAGCCTGCTTCTATCATGCTGCTAATCTACTGCATTAATGCTCCTCTCTGAACAAACCGGGGTTTTTGATGTACAATGTACATGTACATGGGGCGTGTTAAAAATATTACGAGCAGTCGTCCTCTATTTAGAACCAGTAGGACAAAAATATAAGTAATATCCGGCTCATATACTGTTACACAGGTAACATCGTGACTATCGTAGACTGACTTGTTAAAACTTTCAGGTTCAAAACCTTCAACAAGTCATTTATATTTAGACATCAAATTATGTAGAACTGTGACAAATTAAAACAAAAAAGCCTAGCAGCGTTGATCAAATACACGATAAGTGATTGAATACAATAGATAACAGAAAGGTTTACAATCCCTAGCTGAAAAGTTGTCATTTCTTGAAGGAAAAGAAAACTACCATCGAATGGATTGCACGCAAGATCAACAATATTCGAGCTCATTTAAAGAGTGCATATCACTTTGTCGTCAAAGAGCTATGGATAAAAAATATTTAAAGATACATTTTTTGGTACCTCAGTATAATGAAAAGCTCAAACGTACCAGAAGTATTTGTTTTTACAGCTACATTGTATTATACAAACACATTAAATGTAGCAGTATTTGTTTTTACAGCTACATTGTATTATACAAACACATTAAATGTATTGTATCAAAAATCTGGTGGTAGAACAAAACACAATAAGCTTGTTTTTGCTTTTTTTTCAATTTTACATTGTGATGAACTAGTACAAAACTCATCTATAGACTTCGTGACCATTTTTTCACGAATGAACAACATATGTTGGGTTTGATTTCTATATTTTCCATCCCATCCAATGGCATATATTTGAAAAAGCTGCTAGAGAAAACAGTAAAATGTTTATCAGCACAGGGGTTGCCTAATTGATCACTCTAAAGTATTTTAATGAAATTAAAATGGCCAAAAAAATGGAGTCATTAATTTCTTTGCCTTTTAATCGATGGTGCGTGTATCATGACGTCTGTTGCCGCTTAAAACTGGTTGATGTGCTAATATAGATACGTTCGTCAAAGTTGGAAATAACACCAACCACACTAAATGTATTGTTAGAAAATAAGAATTAGACCCTGTCAACTGGCGAACCTACCGAAAGGACAACCAGCACGACTCAGTTCACCCTGAATATCTAGGGAGTTCGACTAATCCTTGTTTTATCTTTGCTCTGCTGCTCATACTATGGGACAGCTAATAGAAATTAAGGATTTAACATATATCGAGTACGTTGCTCTTGAACATAGGGTACCAATGACTCACTGAGACTAGAAGCATATTTATAAAGGCTGTAAATAGAGTTGTCACAATTTCATCAAACCAATCTCAAACAACTCAACTGGTGAGTTATTACAGTCAGTGTCTTGGAGTGAACAGACGACACAAATTTGCCGTTACGATATTTCATTTTGTTGATTTTGTATGACTCTTTCAGCTGTTTCAGACCATGGTGAGCTGTAGTGCTATTCTGTTAGTTGCTGTCTTTGTTGCAGCAAGCTTGGTAGAAGTTGGCCAGGCTGTTTGTTGTATTGACGGTTCGACTTACTGCGCCGACTGCAAAAAGGTACGTCAATTAACGTATAAGAAGAGGTGATTTTTTTTATAATCATAGATTCAACATTACTAAAGCAATTACATGTGTATTAAAACAAAATTTGAGAAATTGAGTTTTTTTTTTTTTGTATCACATTGAAAGCATCTTATATGATCCTGTATCTAATATCTTGCAAATGCATTAGTTTACTGTGGATTTTGCGAAATTTGATTATGACGACAGTCTTAGTTTGATTCCAAAATAGTTTCAAGTGCACCGCGTTAAACATTAATTCTCTACGCTTTCAACTCTGAAGGGCACGGATGAAGGAACTGGAATCGACTCTTCCAATGACATTGACTGCTCCGTCCGTCATTAGCGAATTCAATAAATTCGATATTCCGAGTGTGATGTGAACACTAGCATAGCACTACATTGAAACACGTGTTATATAAACGATTGAACGCGTGTAAATAAGAGGGAAAACGCTCATACAGTTCACTACTCCTATTGCAGGTGACTCCGCACTGTGGTGTTGGGTCATGTAACATCTTCGGTTGTGCTTGTCAAGGTGGCTGTAGAAAGAGTGAGGACTGTGTTGACACTGTATACAGCTATGGTTTAATGTAAGTATTGGATCTTGCTCGAAAATGCAGAGTGAAACACTTCGATTTGGATCATATTTATTCTTGAGTATCGGAATTTATTTTCCAGTTGTTTAAAAATAAGGTAAAATGTTCTACACAACATTATCCTTGATGGAATAAAGTAATCCGTGTGTTATTACCTATCAGACTTGCCCCTTAGATCCTTCAAAAAACGCTAATGGCATGACTGACTCATTGCATGAGGTACTATTTAATTACAGCTACACCGTATGCAGGTGTGACAAAAAGAGAGCAGTTGACAATGTGCCATATGCCAGAGCTGTATTCAGTGACATGGACAGAAAAAGGTATGATGGCACTATCTATTCAAGCTATTCATTATGTATGGGTCTATGTCTCAAATGTTTATATCGTTTACTCATACGCATCTACAAAGTTCACACTGTATGTGCAACGTTCTTTGGAACAGTTAAAGACAGGATTGATCCACTGAAGTATTTGATAAACCGGAAAAATTTACTTCTCAATTTTGGCAATTGCAAAGCTTCAACTGCATTAAAACTGTTTGAAATGATCTGAAGTGGAAACTGAGTCACACATCATCCAGAAAACATTATATACAAAAAGAAAAAAATGTTCAAATGGTTAGAAAATGGGCATTCGATAAGCGTGTGCATTTGTTAAAACATGGCATATATGACATTTGATTAAATATAATACTTTTAGGTCTCAAAATAAAATTTCATTGAAACATTGTGCCGCCATAACAGATTTTCTGGATAAACTAACTTTTTTTATATCAAATGTGTTATACGGGAGATGGATTTAGATGAGAAAGAAGTTTTATGAAATAGAAGTTAAACGTATGTTTCAGGGTCGATCAAATCTCCAAGGAGCAGTTAACCGATGGCGTAATGGCTGTAGAGAAGAACAAACTTTATTCTAGCTGAATCCAGCTTTATGACTTGGAACAAAGAAGATAATATGGATTCTTAGGAATTTCATCGCTAGCTGAAAAAGTAAACCCTACATATTCAAGCAGCAAAGATAGCAAACTCATGCATATAGCTTTTTCGAAAAGAATCCTTACTCGGAAAAAGTTAAGATCAGCATTCAGACTGTGCTATCTTCCCCTTTGCTTAATTTAAATCACATTGCTTTTGTGGACATGGGTTTGATGAACAACAAACGCAATAAAGGGTATTAAAATTGAATTTTTGATTTCTCTTTTATTCATAAATTCATTATTCTTATCTGAGGACACAAGTAATGCATTTTATCATATTTCAACAGATAATTGCCATAGATTTTAAAAAATAACAAAAACAAATATTCAGATGTTAGAACTCAAGTGGATGGCTGAATTTTAACACCCAGCGCTAAGCATGGATTAAGTACTCTTTAAATTCCCGAGATTGTTCGAGTTATGGCGAGAGTCAGGTAAAGAGGATTTTAGTTTGGTTGGCCAGAGTTGAATAGTTTAAAAAGGGAAAATACGTCAGGTACGGTGAATTTAAACAAACAGTTTATTTGCAATAAAATATAAAATAAACTTCGTTTACACAGATTAGTAACATCACCAGCAATCGGAACTTTGAGCATGTGGCACCAGATCCAAACTTTTTAATTTTATTTTTGCGCGTTTAGTTTGGGCTGCTGTCGAAAAGCTTAAATGTATATTAAACGGATTAAATTTCGGCTCTGCTAGGCCCTTTTGGGGACGGCGCGTGCGAAAACTGACTAAAATTTTTCATAGTGGAACTGGGACGTGGCTAACACCAGTCAGTCAACGGGTATATACAACTACATTCAGTATGCAGAGCAAAGAGATATGTCTCCTCTGACATCAGGAGAAGAAGGTCGGCTTCGAATCTGCGGCCTGTCAGGCCTAAAACTAGAAGCCCCTTTCAAATAATCCTGAATCCCCCCAGGCTCGTTTGTTTCACGAACTGATATATGAACTAGGTTAATAATAACATAATATTTTGATGCCGCCATTGTTCTCTTGCTTGTATCCATTTTGTGCCTACCCTGTCGTCTGGTACTATTCCAGGTACCAGCTCATGCTGAAGTGCTGGTCGTGGGAACCAGAGGAGCGGCCAGACTTCACCTCTATAGTAACACAAATAGAGAAGACAGTGAAAATCAACACGGAAGTTGGTGGAGAACCTGGTCACCCAGGAGAGGATGATTACGACGCATATACGAAAATGGTGTAATAACGGGCTGGGTATATTATCTGTAGATCTGCATTATTGAGGCCAATCTATTTGTGGACTGTGATTTTCAATATGTTGTAACGATGACAGTGTTGATTCTTCTTCACGAGGACTTGTTGTATTTTACCTGTTAAATATGTCAAATAATTTTATAACCTTTGCAAAAAAAAAAAAAAAACTAATTTTACCATATATTTGCTGCCTCAACTTTTCTGAGGCGTAGTGTTCTTTAGGATCTGTATTATCACATGATTTGCATAGAAAGTAAGAACTAAGTTGCCCCACCGACGGTGAAGAAGAGTGTAGGAAATCTTGGACAAAGACAAAGTGAATCAGTTTAATGGTATTAACTATTAAATGTTATTCAATAGATCGTCAAGCTTTTCATAGTATTAAATTATTTTAAATATTATGTTATCTGCTTGAAAACCATATTAAAAGAGACTAGCCATAATGCGGTCCATGCGACTTATCTCTCTGATCATTTCCCTGATGCTATACAGGGTATCTGTTGCCTTCTTTATAGTAAGCTTGTTTTTGTTTTTGCTTTTTTTTTAAATTTTATACCGAAATGAACCAGTACAAAACCCATCTATAGACTGTACCGCACGAAAACGCAGTAGATACTCCAGTGCAGTAGACTACTGCAATCATACTGCAAACTACTGCAATCATACTGCAAACATGCTTCAAATCTGCTTCGATTTGGGAACTACACACACTGGACAAAAGAAGTGTCACCCCTACTGAGCCAATACTATGGGGGAGATAAATGACTGTGGAATGATATGCTCCTGGTATCATGTTANATCGAGATGGACCTTGTATTTTGGGAAGAGTACAACTGGTTGATGGTTCTGTAAAAGAAGCAAAATAACATTTTACTTTTCATACCATACATATTAGTGAATTATAATGTGCAGATACTGACTACTACAGAAACAACCTTAAATTAAGTTAGATAAATATCCAAGTGGGTGTAACAAAGATATATGTAAAAAATAGTAATGTGCTCAAAATTCAGTTATAAAAACATTTGCCCTGTACAAATAAAAAGACAACAGAGAATACATATTTCAAATAAAAACATCTGGATACCTGGATACACAAATGATTAAGTAAATACAGAGCAGACCACAAATTCTTGATTGTTGCAAGTGCAATTGTATATACAATCACTATGATTTAACTATAAAATAAATAAATAATAATGAAATAAGATAAGACAGTAGCATGTGAGTTTATCAAATGATTGACACCAAGTGATATTGACAACTATAATTACATATATCCTCATGATTCAAAGGGCATAGGGTAGGTATAGGATTCAATGTATTAGTGGCTCAGTATGTTCCTTTTATGAAGAACTAAGCTGTAACAAACAACAGGCAAATGAGACCCACTGTTTAATATTTGTTGCAACAAAGACAAATTAATCAAGCTTAAAGATCTAATAATTAATAGGGAGCCCACTAGAATTCTGCTGCCCAGATTAATATAAGATGCCTTGAATAAAAGTGCCTCTTCTCTTTAACTGAACTACATCTACCAGTCACCCTACTCATTATCATTATTCCTTTATTGATACTGTTTGTCAATGTAATTCTTTATTGATACTATTTATGTATACCTTTACTGATTCTATTCATAAGGGAAAGTTACAAGGATTATTCCTAACAGGCCTAATTAAATTAATCACATTGCAGCTTGTTCTGTGAAAAGCTATCCTACTTTTTCTGGCTCACAAGATACAATAAATAATCCCTAAAATACATTCTCATTGAAGTTGGGCTTAGCCTATACATATTTATATTCACTAATGGTTGCACGTGTGCAGCAATGTATTGGGGGGGAGGACCACTCCACAAATAACATAAAATATTCTACTATGATACTTAAGCCTCTGTCTCATAAAAATCCCACCATAATATTTGTTTGTATATCTTGTTGTGTGAAGCCTTACATTATTTTGTGTAAATGCAATGCTAATATGGATGAACTAATAATGAGATGTTAATCATGGCAAGAACATCCAGCTAGCTTAGGCTGTATTCCCAGAGCTTTTAGATTGATCTGCCCCCGTGGGGAGTCTCGCTAGATTACTGTCAGATAACCCGGCTTACAAGCTGTAAGGGGGTAATTAACTTTCGTGTCCACCCCACTGACAGCTGTTTAGCGTGAACCCCTAAAGTAGATCGATCTAATCTCTGGAAATGGGGTCTTTTACTATCTTATTCAACAGAGAATGAGTTGTTTCAAATCTTAAAACCTCTAAGTATTTACAAATAAAATAATAATAACACTAATAAACTTGTTTTTATCATTTTCTTTTTTTTTCTTTCTTTCATATCACTTTTATCAGTCACATATTGTTATGTGACATCAGCCATTTACGATGTAAACATCACACGATCGGGGCTGACTTAAAAACAAATTACAATATGTTGACATACCTTCTTCAGCAAGACTGCCTTGTTTCTCAGCTTTCTTATACTTCTTTGCCGCCTGAGATAACCCCTTCTTGTTAGTTAGCTTTCTGTAGCAAGAGTAGTGACATCGTGGTTTGGCTTCCAAATCGTCGAATCCTCTAAGGCTCTATCTAAATCCGTACGGATCCACTGAACAGCAGTGGCTTCTCTGCTGCCAAATTTCAGCCATTGTTTCGCTGCGACTCTAAAAGTTTCCCAGCGAAAACGTGTGATGGTATCTAGAGTCTCTTAATTAGCTACCTTCTTCTATGTGCATGCAACACGAAAGATGAGAATTTGGCGAAGATTTCGCGTCTCCCTCCTCAGACTCTTCACTACAGCCGACCATGCTGCTTTGTTTACATGGCATGGCCTGGTGGGAAGGTGACTTGACCCCCTTTCCGTTGCTTTGATTGGTTAAAAGGCTCGAACGGCGGGGCTATTCATTTTGATATTTTGACATAAATACTATCGCAATTATCTATATGTTGGCGCTTCTCTCGGTTGCCGAATTTTATTGTGGATATTCTTTAACTGTTTATCTTCATGCACCGTGAAAATTGTTTGGCCACATCACATATTGAAGGAAAGAGCTTTTCTAAACGCTTTTATTCGTATCAGGTGGGGGACTATCAGTACAAATAAAGACATATAAGGAGCAGTTGCAGTATACAACACTTTTTTAATGGTCCACTATATGAAAAAGTGTTGTTTTCTTACAAAAATGATTCCTGCAGTTGGGTATATAATTTTTTTTCACTGTGTAATGATAATCTTTATTTTGAAACATTAATGAACGAAAATGGTAGATATCTTTTTAAAGAATATTGTGAAAAATTTCCAGATTAACAACAGATGAGAAGCTTAGGAGACCACTTGACTATCAGCATAACAGGAAGGACAAATCTCATGTACTTCATCAAATGCAAATCTTGACCAGTAGATTAACTTGGACATGTTTTTCTTCTTCTAAGTGACCTAAAACTCAGCAGTAATGTGGATCAGAGAAATAATTAGAGTGTACCACACCAAGTTCTGTAGTTTTCTGGTGTTCAGTCAGTTTTATTTCAGGCAACACTGATATTTAGTATTAATATTTTTTCATTCTTTTTTTCACAACTTTTATGATAGTCCCATTGAATGAAAACTGTTGTTGAAAATATAGATTATTGGTTTAATTTAAGGAATAGATACCGGTACATTGTATGGCAGTATAATGTTCTATAAATAACATAGTTTTAGGTTGGTGTGGATGTTTAAAAGAATTAATTCCTTAATTTTATTTATCTATCCATGGGGGGGGGGGGGCTATATTCCAATGGCTTTCATTTGTTTTCTAGTTGAATTAAGATGGTTTGCGTATATTAAATTTTTCAAAGCATTTGCTACCATATATGTGTTAGTTTACTGTAACTTCAATTTTACCAGCAAATGCACATCATAGTTTTGTCATGTTCCATAGTCTACTATTGCTGCGTAAAATTTAAAAAGAACTTGTTGGATGGGTGGGGGAGGGTCCCCATAATTTTTTTCTTCATTCTGTCTTTCATGATATACAAATTTCTGTTATATTTTATGTTACACAATATACATTATAAAGAAAATATGCATCAAATGGATGAGATCCTTTGTGTATGTGTAAATTATTTGCATTTTATTATAACCTTAGTTTATCTGTTGTTATCAAATGTGAACATACTAGAACACTACCATCTTTAATTGCATATATCTCCATCTTCACAGGGTTTACAGCTATAAAACTGCATGAATATTTTAGGCAGATATGGATCACTCCAAATCAAGTTTCAAAAGTTACTGCTGTATTAAAACAGGTACTGAAAAATAACCCCAAAGTTGGCCATTTTTAAGGCAAAAAATCGTGGTGGATTCATTCAAGTCTATGTAGACAATGGGTTTGATTAATTTATTAAAACATTTTGCTCTACAATGTTGTTACTAAATTAATAGGGCTGGTGAGCATGGAAAGTGGATGTGTACTAATGAATATCAGGTCAGTGGGTCATAGGTCAAGGTCACTGGGCTTCATTTTTGTAAATTGTCATATATAGACTTTTTCATTTTTATGGACAAAAAGTTTTAACAAGGAAATAATTCCTTAAAAGAGGAAATAAATCTTAGATTCTATTACTTTGGATAAGCACTTGCAATTAACTTGAGAGTTTACATGATAATATATATAAAATATNCAGGTGGGGGACTAACAAGCAGAGTGCGTAAAATGAGCTATGCAGTGTATTACAGGATTGTTAATCTGTGGCAGAATGGCGCAAAAAAGACAGACATTGGCTGACAGATTATTGCACCCAACGGAATGGTCCGCACCCAATATATCGAAATCTTACCACCAGGGTACAGGACTCGCTGTCTTTCGGGATATGCTGCTGCAACTACACAAAAACCACCCAATCCGTTCAGCATGAGGGGTAACATGCCACCAAAACGCATTTTTAAGGCCCTTAGCGAACACCAAACTAGTTTTAGCAGGTTGGAAAACCAAACAATCCCCGAGGAATCAACAGTAAACAGCAAAACATCATCGTCTGATTCTCTGATGAATTGGGGACCATTACCGTTTCTGGATAGAACAGTGAAACCGCGTGGCTTTCTTTATTGAGGTCAGATTTCACATGTACCGCTCAACCAGTCAAAAAAGAGTTTACAGACATCCAGAAGAAGCCAACGACGAAGCGTGTGCCGCTTATAAAGTGACTACCTGTATGTCATTGACAGCGTCAGTATTTCGAGTGGATACCACATTGGTGCCAAAACACCAATGGTAGTCAGCGATGAAAACCTGAACCAGATCAATTAAAGGAATGATCTGGGAACCATTTGACTATCATTTGATAGGGCTCACCTTGGGAACAATTTTGGTTGCATGGTTAGTTGCCGGTGTGAACAGAATGCAGGTTCCTAGCAACAGTGGTCCTATGGACCACCGATCCTTAGGATTAATAGTCCTAATGGGACCTGTATTCCTGTCATAAATATGGAAAGGACTTCTATTCCTGGCGGACCTGCATTTCGTTTATATTAGTCAGCGAAATGGAAGTCCGCCCTATTTTTATGTCTGTCCCTTTATATTACTACTAGGTAAAGGCCAGTGACATGAATAGTATGCTTTAGTGAGCATATATAATTATTCCGTAAAATCGCCAATTTGCCGCTTCGTCTCTCTGGCGTAGTGGTTAGGCAGTGCAACAAAGTGCATCCAGAACAGTATCTGAACGTAATGTGGTGGGAGTTCGAATCCCTATAAAACTGAAGTTGCGTTTTAAACTTTTGTGTGATTTTTATGTCTTTGTCATGTTTGCTGGTCATTTTACTTTGCCGCGTCGGATAATTTAAACTGGTTACAGATGTCACGCGCTTGCTTGCACTACTATAAATACGTTCATATTCTGATACCACACCCTCACTTGACTTTGGATATGGAAGGGACGAGCAGCACCCGTTCTAAACCCAACATAGAGGTTATATTTCAGTATATTCATGATGGCACATACCCGATAGGCACAGCACCGACCCAGAAAAGAACTAGCAAGTCGAATTATAAATAAGCTTTCATTTACAGTTACTTTTCATAATGTTCAAAGTACACACAATTTTCGTTTACAGAGGCCATATTAGCTTACACACAGACATACATTCCTAGGAATGTAAGTCAGTCAGACCTATGCTCCTGGAATAAGTTTCCGGAGGACTACAATTTCTGGTAATTAAGGTCCGGGGGACTACAATTTCTGGGATTTTAGGTCCGGGGCACTACAATTTCTGGGATTTTAGGTCCGGGGGACTACTATCTCTAGGACAAATACTTATTATTGCTTTTCTCCGTCAAACTTCACTTTAAAGAAGAAAAGGTCTGTCATTAATTTAAATTTATGAATATATATAATATCGTAATGATTATTTCAGATTGAACATGGCAGGCTATTTTATAAAGTAAATAAGAGGAAAGTGAAGGACGTCTCGGATGACGGACAATGCAGTGATGATGATGGTTATGATGATGAACTTTGGCGAATAGTCGTAAGGTGGAAAGCAAGAAGATCCCTGGCTAGGACCTTATGTAGTAAAAGGAATATAAAAATCGGGAGCGTACATCCTACAAATTGAAAGGGGATGCACCCTTAAAGGTTCCAATTTGAAAATTTATCTGACAAATGAATAGGTCTACTAAAATTAAAATAAATTTATCACAACTTCTTACGTGTTATTTTTCATAATTAATTTTTTTTCATTCAGTTTGTGAATATCAAAATAATAAAGGTAATCATACCGATCATTTTAATACACACATGTTATTATTTATTATATGTAACTTCCATTTAAGTGTAAGAGAAAAAGTCAAATCGGACATATAGTCCTAGTATAAATCAGGAAAACAGGTGCCATCCGGACTTCCATTTCTTGCAATGGGACTTACATTCCTTGGTAACTGTTGTCCCAAGGACGTTAAATCCTAGTAACGTATGTCCTAGGACATCCATTCCTAGAAACGCTAGACCTAGAACTTGCATTCCCAGGACTTAGTGTCCGGTCAGACTTGCGTTACTAGGACTACCATTCCGTTTACACCGGTTCACACAGAGCACCTTTAATAGCAGATGATTCACAATACTATGAGCAGCTCCCTTGGTCATCAAAATCGCCATATTTTAACCACATAGGCAATATGTGGGTAGACCATTACTCGCCGAATCAATGGCATACGTATGTCCAACAACAAACCTGGACCACATTGGACAGAAAAAACTGATGAAAAATGATTTGAAAAAAAACCCTCCATATTAAATGTCAAGTCTGTATATTATTATTATTATTATTATTATTATTATTATTATTATTATTATAGCTTTTCACAAGAAGAGCTGGTATTCACTGTATGCTAACTACAATTGTCAAGTCTTACTTTTGAAAAAAATTGAACATTGCTATTGATCGGATGCACAGACTACGTTGCTGACATTTAGAAAAAGAGAGTTTTGTAAAAACCCACTGTCATTTATTAGTGACTAAGTATATTTTTTAGTTTTTCTCTCTATCGGTGTTTATACAGCGTTTACATGCTGGTACATTTTGTATTTTACAGCGGTAGTACAAAAAGATATGAAATTAAACGGTGTTTTTTCACGCTTTCATATTTTCATTGAAATATTCATGATATAATTGCAATTTACAGGCGATAGTTATCCAATTTGTGAATGAGTGAAAGAAATAATATTAACAATAATTCCCACCACGATATAGATAGATAAATTCAGTATATACATCGTTCAGATTGTCAGCTTTCTTATTTTTAATACCAACCTTGCCGTTTTGAATAAAAATGATATCACGAAGCCTCGTTCAAACTGTTAGAAATTACTCTTAATTATACGTCTTTAAATCAAGTACATCACTTAAAAATAAACAACCCCCTTCATAACGTGACGCTTCTGAAATGACTACCGTATAGTGGTGAATTTCGACAGACTGTTGTTGATTCTTGGTTTATCATTGCTATTACAACCAAAATTAAGGTGCTGTTACAGGTCATAGAAACGCGTATTTAAAAACATCCTGCATGCTTTAATACAGGGTATCAAATGTTTTTCAGCACAGGGGTTGCATATTTGACCACTGTTGAGTATTTTTAAATAAAGTTACAAACTACATAGAATACAGTCATTATTTCCCTTGTATTTTGATCAATGGTACGTGTAGCATGACGTGTGTTGCCGCTCGTACTGCTTGATGTGCAAATATAGGTACGTTCGTCAAAGTTGTACATAACAAACCTACCACATTAAATGTATTGTTATAAAATATAAGTAGTTCCTGTCAACGAGGTAAATCTACTGAAATGACAACCAGCAACACGCAGTCCACCCTGAATTTCTAGGGAGTGCGACTAATCCTTGTTTTATCTTTGCTCTGCTGCTCATAATATGGGACAGCTGATACTAGAGCTCATAGAAATTAAAGATTTAACATATAACAATTACGTTGCTCTTTAACACAGGGTACCAATGACTCACTGACTAGAGGCATATTTATAGAGGCTTAAATACAGTTTCCACAGTTTCAACAAACCAATCTCAAACAACTCATCTGGTGAGTTATTACAGTCAGTGTCTTGGAGTGAACAAACGATATTTTGTTGATTTTATATGACTCTTTCAGCTATCTCAGGCCATGGTGAGCTGTAGTGCTATTCTGCTAGTTGCTGTCTTTGTTGCAGCAAGCTTGGTAGAAGTTGGCCAGGCTGTTTGTTGTCTTGACCGTTCGGTTTACTGCGCCGACTGCAAAAAGGTACGTCAATGAACGTACAAGAAGAGGTAAGTTTTTTTCACAATCATAGATTCAACGTTACTAAAGCAATTACATGTGTATTGAAACAAAATGTGAGAAATTGAGTTTTTTTTGTATCACATTGAAAGCACCTCATCCTGTATCTAATATCTCGCAAATGCATTAGTTTACTGTGGATTTTGCTAAATTTGATTATGACGGCAGTCTTGGTTTGATTCCAAAATAGTTTCAAGTGCACCGCGTTAAACCTTAATTCTCTACGCTTTCAACATCTGAAGGGCACGGATGAAGGAACTGGAATCGACTTTTCCAATGACATTGACTGCTCCGTCCGTCATTAGCGAATTCAATAAATTCGATATTCCGAGTGTGATGTAAACACTAGCATAGCACTACATTTAAACACGTGTTATATAAACGATTGTAAGCCTGTAAATAGCAGGGAAAACGCTCATACTGTTCACTTATCCTATTGCAGGAGACTCCGCACTGTGGTGTTGGGTCATGTAACATCTTCGGTTGTGCTTGTGAAGGTGGCTGTAGAAAGAGTGAGGACTGTGTTGACACTGTATACAGATCAGGCTCTCTGTAAGTTTAAGTATAGCATCTTGCTCGAAAACACTTCGATTTGGATCGTATTGATTCTTGAGTATCAAAATCTATTGGCCAGTTGTTTGAAAATAAAGTTAAATTTCTAGGCAACAATATCCTTGATGGAAAAAAGTAATCCCTATGTTACTACCTATCGGACGTGCCGCTTAGATCCTTCAAAAACGCTAATGACGTGACTGACTCATTGCTTGCGGTACCATTTAATTACAGATACTACGTATGTAGGTGTGACAAAAAGAGAGCAGTTGACAACGTGTCATATGCCAGAGCTGTATTCAGTGACATGGACAGAAAAGGTATGGTGGCTCTATCTATTCAAACTGTTCACAATGTGCGGGTCTCTATTTCAAATGTTCATATCGTTTACTCATACGCATCTGAAAAGTTCACACTGTATGGGGAACCTTCTTTGGAACAGTTAAATACAGAAGTAATCCACTGAAGTATTTGATAAACTTGAAAAATGCACTGCTCAGTTTTGGCAATTGCAAAGCTACAGCTGCATTAAAACTGTTTGAAATGAACAGAAGTGGAAACTGAGTCACATATCATCCAGTAAACATTATATACAAAAAGAAAAAATGTTCAAATGGTTAGAAAATGGACATTTGATAAGTGCGTGCATTTGTTAAAACAAGACATAATATGACACTTGATTAAATATAATAATTTGAGGTCACAAAATAAAATTTCTTTGAAACATTGTGCCGCCATAACAGATTTTCTGGATAAACTACTTGCACATAATCATGTAATTCTGTCAGACAATCTCAACCTATCTGAGTATCCATGCAGGCTATTTCAATTGATTAGTATTTTCCTTTAAGGCGATACCTTTTCTTGAAAATCTGTACTCAAGATAGTAACACATTCTTGTCTTTCATTCCCATATTATGTATAGGTAGATATACAATGCGATACATATGGTGAAGCAAAGGATTCTCTTCGCATTTCCATTGGGAGTTTATGAAATTGGTCTGACCTAAAAAAGGAAAGCAGTTGAATTATTGCCTTTTTATCAAATGTGTTATACGGGAGATGGATTTAGATGAGAAAGAAGTTTTATAAAATAGAAGTTAAACGTATGTTTCAGGGTTGATCAAATCTCCAAGGAGCAGTTAACAGATGTCGTTATGGCTCCTTGGGGAAGAAATAAACTTTATTCTTTATTCTGAATCCACCATCATGACTTGGAACAAAGAAGACGGTATGGACTATTAGGGATTTCAGCGCTTGTTGAGAAGGTACACCCTACATATTTAGGCAGCAAAGACAGCTTACAGCATATAGCTTTATCGAAAACGCATTTATTTTAAGAATCCTTACTCTGAAAAAGTTCAGATTAGCATTCAGACTGTGTTATCCTCCCCTTTGCTTAATTCATATTGCTTGATGAACAACAAACGCAATAAACGGTATTAAAAATGAATTTTTGATTTCTTTTTTATCCATTAATTCATTTTATCATACTTCAACAGATAGTTGCTTAATTGTTAATTACTACCAAAATTAAATAATCATATTTTAAACCTCCTAGCAAACCAGGAGCTCAAGGGAATGGCTGAATTTAAACACCAAGCGCTAATAAGCGTGGGTCAAGTGCTCTTTAAATTTTCTAGATTGTCAAAGGTATGTCGAGAGTCAGGTAAGGGGGATTTAAGTTTGGTTTGTCGAAGTAAAATAATTTAAAATGGAAAATACGTCAAAAAGCGTGAATTAAAAAAAAAAAACTGTAAAATTGCAATAAAATCTAAAATAAACTCAGGTTGTACAGCGGCGTAACATCACTAGATCCAGCCTTTTGTAAGGAGTCATTCGCGCATTCAGTTTGGGTGGCTGTCAAAAAGCATGAATGTTTATTAAAGGGCTTAGATCTTGGCTCCGGGATTTAATTGCTAGTCCCCTGCAGGGGCAGCAGGTGTGGGGGCGGGGGACCATCAGCGGATTAGTCGGCATTGTTTTTAATTTGGCCGTATTAGATTCGCTGATCCGTTACTCTGCAGTTCAACTTGTTCTGTATGCGCTCAAATTGTGGAAAATACTTTGCAGGTTTTGATAAGACGACGGGATTTACGCAGTTATTTGCTTTGGTTATTTGCTTTGGTTATTTGCTTTGGTTAACCTAAAATCTGATTTAAGACGATGAAAACCTGACCCTTTAGCAATGCGGAATCAAAGTGAGACACATTTGTCATCAAGACGCTGAAAATACACGATGCACGGGGAAGGCTGGTGCAGAAAATATCATTGAGAAATACCATCAACTTTCAGTATCATATTTATTTCGATGTAGAAATTATATTTTGTAAACCGATGCAGTCAAAACGACAAAAATATGTTACAGTATGTGAGAGAAAATCTGATTCTATTTTTAATTTTCATATCATATCAACTCAATACTGGGTGTGTGTTTCACCGAGCTTTTCAATACCAACCTTGAAGTTTTGAATAATAATGATAACATGAATCCTCGTTCAAATTGTGAGAAATTACTCTTAATTTTAAATATATCAAATTTAGTACATCACTTAAAACTAAGAAGACCCTTTATAGCGTGTCACTTCTGAAAGGGCAACCGCATAGTGCTGAATTTCGACAGAATGTTAAAATGCTATTACAACCAAATTTAAGCTGCTATTAGAGGTCACAGAAACGAGTATTTAAAACATCTTTTATGTTGTAATGCAGGGAATGATGGACTGACAAGCCGCATATTATCCAATTTGCGAGTAAAATTAGTTCAGTTTCAGATTTCATCAAGCCAATAGCAAACCACACGGCTGGTAGGTATCCTATATTAGGAATGCCCCCTTTTATATGTTTGAGGGCAATTTTATTAAAGTTAAGGGCGCCACTCAGACTTACCTTCTCTTTCGCTCTAAATTTTGTTTTAGTGGCGGTGGGTATGAAAAGTTTGATGGGAATTTCTACTTTCTATTAAAAAAACACTCTATAGTTATATCGCACAATTTAAAGCACATCCTTTAAAAACGATCCCCTCCACCACGAAACATAATGGGTTATCATTCTCTTTCGTCTTGGTTTCACATGTGTAGTAGAAATCTAATTTGCTTTATATGGCAGATCCTTTTTTATAGGACGTGAGTAGACAGTCCAGTAAACCTTTTGGATACATGTTATCTGATTTATCAAACCAAAAAATTCTATTCCATAATTAACTGAATGCAAATCTTAATAGCTTAGCTAAAGACACGGTAACAACGTGCTTGTTTTTCTTGAAACTAGAAACATGGGACGGGTCAAAATTCATTAAGAGCAGTCGTCATCTATTTAGAACCAGTAGGACAAAATATCAGTAGAATCCGGCTCATATACTGTTACACAGGTTAAATTGCGACTATCGTAGACTAACTTGTTAAAACTTTTAGGTCCAATACCCTCAACGACTTATTCATATTTAAACATCAAATTATGTAGAACTGTGACAAATTCAAACAAAGAAGGTTAGCAGCGTTAATCAAAGATACGGTAAGTGATTGAAATACAAAAGATCACAGAAAGTTTAACAATCCTTAGCTGAAAAGTTGTCATTTCTTGAAGGAAAAGAAAACTACTATCGATTGAATTGCGCGCTAGATCAATAATACTCGAGCTCATTTAAAGAATGTATACCACATTGCTGTCAAAGAGCTTTGCATTAAAAATATTTAAAGATACATCTTTTTTTGATACCTCAGTATAATGAAAAGCCTATTCGTATCACTATAGAATTTATTTATACAACTACATTGTATTATATAGACACATTCGTATTTTGTATTTAAAATCTGGTGGTAGTACAAAACAAAATAAGCTTGTTTTTGCTTTTTTTTCAATTGTATACCTTAATGTACTAGTACAAACTCATCTATAGACTGTGCTACACCAATTTTTAATGAATATTGGGTTAATGTCCATGTTTGCCACCCAATGCACATTTGATCACTATTCAATATTTTTTAATAAACTATGTCATCATTTCCTTTGTATTTTTAAAAATAAATATGACGTGTAGCATGAGGTCTGTTGAAAATTCAATAAATTCGAAATCTTTCCGATTGTGATGTGAACACAAGCATGGCACTACATGTAAACGTGTAGCATGACGCGTGTTGCCGCTTAAACTGGTTTATGTGCTAATATAGGTACATTCGTCAAAGTTGGGAATAACACACCAACCACATTAAATGTATTGTAAAAAAATAAAAGTAGTCCATGTTAACGCGGTGAACCTACTGAAAGGACAGCCAGCACGACGCAGTCCACCCTTAATATTTAGGGAGTTCGACTAATCCTTGTTTTATCTTTGCTCTGCTGCTCATACTATGGGGCAGCTGATGGTAGAGCTCATATAAATTAAGGATTTAACACAATGCATTACGTTGCTCTTGAACATAGGGTACCGCTGACTCACTGAGACTAGAGGCACATTTATAGAGGCTGTAAATAGAGTTGCCACAGTTTCACCAAACCAATCTCAAACAACTCAGCTGGTGAGTTATTACAGTGTCTTGAAGTGAACAAACGTCATTTTGTCGTTGCACAATTTCATCTTGTTGATTTCCTATTACTCTTTCAGCTATCTCAGGCCATGGTGAGCTGTAGTGCCATTTTGCTAGTTGCTGTCTTTGTTGCAGCAAGCATGGTAGAAGTTGGGCAGGCAGTCTGTTGTATTATCGTACGTTCCGATTACTGTGCCGACTGCAAAATGGTACGTCAATGAACGCATAATGTGATATTAATTTTTCACCATAGATTAAACGTCACTAAAACAATTTCATGTATACTGAGACAAAACCTGAGAAGTTGAGTGTATTTGTGTGTGTCACATTGGAAGCATCTTATATAATCCTGTATCTGATATCCTGAAAGTGCATTAGTTTAACGCGGTTTTCGCGCAACTTGCTTATGACGACAGTCTTGGTTTGATCCCAAAATAGTGTCAGATGCAGTGCATCAAACATGAACGTACTGCTTTTAGTGCCGTTCGTCTGCTCTAAGTTTTCAAAATCTGAAGCACGCGGATGAAGGAATCGAAATCTGCTTTTCCAATGACATTGGCTGTTCCGTTCGTCATGAGAAATTCAATAAATTCAAAATCTTTCCGAGTGTGATGTGAACAACAGCATAGCTCTACATTTAAACGCGTGTTATATAATCGATTCTACGCGTGTAAATGAGATGGAAAGCGCTCATACAGTTCACTTACCCTATTGCAGGGGACTCCGTACTGTGGTGTTGGATCGTGTAACATCTTCGGTTGTGCTTGTCAAGGTGGCTGTAGAAAGAGTGAGGACTGTGTTAACACTGTATACAGATATGATTCTCTGTAAGTATTGGGTCTTGCTTGAAAATGCAGAGTGAAACACATCGATTTGGATCATATTGATTCTTGAGTATCAGAATCTATTGGCCAGTTGTTTCAAAATAAGGTAAAATTTTCTAGACAACAATATCCTTGATGGAACAAAGTAATCCGTGTGTTACTACCTAGCAGACGTACTGCTTAGATCCTTCAAAAAACGCTAATGACATTTCTGACTCATTGCTTTCGGTACTATTTAATTACAGGTACTCCTATTGCACGTGTGACAAAAAGAGAGCAGTTGACAACGTGTCATATGCCAGAGCTGTATTCAGTGACATGGACAGAAAAAGGTATGATGGCACTATTTGTTCAAACTGTTCACAATGTACGGGTCTCTATCTCAAATGTTTATATCGTTTACTCACACGCATCTACAAAGTGAACACTGTATGGGTAACTTTCTTCAGTACAGTTAAAGTCAAGTGATCCACTGAACTATCTAAAAAAATGCATTTCTCAATTTTGGCAATTTCAAAGCTACATCTGCATTAAAAATGTTTGAAATGATCTGAAGTAGAAACCGAATCACATGTCACCCAGAAAACATATTATAAAAACAGCAAAAAGGTACAAAATGGCTGGAGAATGGACATTTGATATGGGTGTGTATTTGTTGAAACATGGTTCAATATGACATTTGATCAAATATAATACTTTAAGGTTACAAAATAAAATTTTATTGAAACATTGTGCCGCCATAACAGATTTTATGGATAAACTGCATTCAAATAATCATGTAATTATGTAAGTATCCATGCAGGCTATATCAATTAATTAGTCTTTTCCTTTAAGGGCACGCCTTTTCTTGAAAATCTGTACTCAAACTAAATAACACAGTCTCATCTTTCATTTCCATATTATATATAGGTAGTTACACAATGTGCCGCCACAACAGGATGCGTGGTTTACATATTAGATCTTTATTGTAGATCTTCAAAGATCCATCAGTATTTTAACTTATGACATAGAAGTTAAACTTATGTTTCAGGGTTGATCAAATTTCCGAGGAGGAGTTTACAGATGTCGTAATGGCTGTGTAAAGAAGAAAACAAATCGTTCTAGCTGAATCCACCATCATGACTTGGAACAAAGAAGATAATTTGGATTCTAAGGAGCTTCATCGCTAGCTAAAAAAAGTAAACCCCACACATTTACGTAACAAAGATAAACTTATGTATAGCTTTATCGAAAACGCATTTTATCTTAAGAATCCATACTCGGAAAAAGTTAAGATCAGCAATCAGACGTGTTATCCTCCCCTTTGCTTAATTTAATTCACATTGCTTTTGTGGACGAGGGCTTGATGAACAACAAACGCAATAAAGGGTATTAAAATTGAATTTTTGATTTCTTTTTTATTCATAAATTCATTTTTCTTATCTGAGGAAAAGTAAAGCATTTATCAAATTTCATCAGATAATTGCCGAAAAAATATAAAATAATAATAATAATAATAATAATAATAATAATAATAATAATAATAATTATTATTATTATTATTATTATTATTATTATTATTAACACATTTTAGACCTCCTGGCAAATCAGTAGCTCTTGGGGATGGCTGAATTTAAACACCCAGCGCTAAAGATGGGTTAAGTCCTCTTAAAATTCCCCAGATTGTCAGAGTTATGGCGAGATTCAGGCGAGGAGGATTTTAGTTTTGATATTCGGAGTAAAATAATTTGAAATAGGACAATACGTCAAGAAGTGTGAATTACAAAACTGTAAATTTGCAATAAAATCTATTAAAATTTCGTTTGCTCAGCGTCATCGGCAACCGGAACTTTGAGCAGGTGGCACCAGATTCAGCATTTTGTAGGGGATTTTTTACGCGTTCAGTTTGGGCTGCTGTCGAAAAGCTTAAATGTAAAACGGATTAAATCTCGGCTCTGATATGCAATTGCTAGGCCCCTTCAGGGACGGCGCGTGTGAGGGCGGGGGGACCATCGGCGGAATAGTACACATTAAGTAATCGACATTAATTTGGCCGTATATGGTTCGATTAGAATCAGATCAACTTGTTCAGAATGCGCTCAAGTTGTGACAAAGGTGTCATTCAGAATAGATGATCCGAGTACTTACTGATCCGCCGACTAAATATGGCCGACCAAACTTAAAAAGCGAGGCCACTGATTCCTGATGGTCTCCCTGCCTCCACACGCGCCGTTAACCGATTAAACCTTGGCTCCGAAGTTTAATTGGTAGGCCCCTGCCGCGACGGCGAGAGTGGGGGCGGGGAGACCACCATGGAATTAGCGGTATCGCTTTTGAACTGTGGCCAGCCATATTTAGCTAACGAATCTGTAAGCACTCGGATAATTTATTCTAAATGGCCCCAAATACTTTAAAGAATTTTGATAAGCCGACGGGATTTAAGCAGTTATTTTTTAAATACTCATTTTAATAATGACCAATTGCTTTGTTTATTTAGCCTTCAATCTCATTTAAGACGTTTAAAATCTTAACCCTTTAGCAATGCGGAAAAAAGTGATACATATTTGACATCAAGAGGCTGAAAATACACGATACACAGAAGAGGTTAAAAAAGAAAATAACACTGATAAATACCATCACTGATAAATACCTATGTAGCTATCGCATTTTGGAAACCGATGCAGTCGAAATGGCAACAGTATGCTACAGTATGTGGGAGAAAATCTGATTCCAGTTTCAATGTTTATTTAAATGTATCACACTACATAAACACGAACTAAATACTTTAAACCGTCAGCCCTTTCACCCATTGCTTTTGAAACTTATGGATATGTAAATGGTGAGAGGCATGAGATCTAGGCCTTAGGCCCATTAAATGGTATTTGTCTGTTTTGAAGTTTACCGATAATCTTTAGACGCTTGGACATAGTACGTAAGGCATTATGACCATAAGACATCACTGGAGCGACAATAGCTTGCCACAAGTAGGTGTTGGGTTTTGTATCTAAGCCGGAAAACGTACACCATGTGACATTATTTTATTAAATTCCCTATTGGCAGAATTAACTGGATTCACAATATGCTCATCAATTATTAAATATTCAATATCATTAAATGATTTACTTTGTCCATGATTTCACGCACCCTTTGGGCCAACTTTGTTCTTACATGCTATGCACATCAGGTGATAATACAGATCCTAAAGAACACTGTGCGCCACATGCGTTGAGACAGCAAATATTTGGTAAAATTAGGTGACCGCCTCCAATATCCAAATTAGAGGGAGGTAGGAATGGAAGTATTTATTTTGTTAAACAGAATGATATATTTAATTATAAAATTATTTGACATGCTTGGCAGGCAAATACAAAAGCAGCATTGTCATCGTCAAAACTTATTGAAAATCACGGTCCAAAAGTGATCTGGATTCAATTGCATAGATCTACAAATAATATATCCTGTCTGTTATTAGACCACTTCAATATATGCGTGGTAATTATCCTCCCTACCCCCACGTTCTGTGTGACCAGGTTCTCCACCAACTTCCGTGTTATCTCTCACTGTCTCCTCTATAAGTGTTACAATAGAGGTGAAGTCTGGCCGCTCTTCTGGCTCCCACGACCAGCACTTCAGCATGAGCTGATACCTAGAATTGGTAAGAAGAGAAGATAGGAGCAAAAATGAATACAATCAAGAAAACAAGAGCGGGACCAACATATTATTGTATTGTAATTGCCAACCTACTCCAGATCCCAGTATACGACAAATACTTGCCTTTATTTATAAACTACAGTGTATTTTCGAAGCCTTTTTCATTTCCCGTTATAGTTTTGATGGTTAACTGTGCCCCCAACTCCTAGACCCGTCTATACATGCCGTGTATATAGATTTTGCCTGCCCCCATGTATGTGTATACACTGTATATACATAATATAGATATACGTGCATGTAGCTGGTACAGGGAGACGCTGATTCAGGAGGCAGAATTATACAAAGATAGCACCAGATAAAGGAACCGAAAATTCAAAACCTGTTACGATAACATGTTATCTAATACTGATCAATTAAGTTTGCCCTCTCCCAGCAATACACACATAGATTATTTTGTGGACGCGGGAGCAGGACTTACACGTGCTGAGGACAGTAGTCTGGTTGGTCCAATCTTCTCCCAAGTTTAAGGAACTGTAGAACATCCCATCCATCCACACCAGGATACGGTACCTTACCGCGGGTGAACAGCTCCCAAAGTAGCACGCCATAGGACCACTGTAGACAATATAGCAAGTTTTATATAATGACAACATAAACATATTAAGCACAAATGTGTTTTGACATTTGTACTCTGTCTCTCTTAAAAAAGGATAGCATAAATTATAAAACGATATATGGACAACAGAAAGTTTTATATAACTTCAAATGTTGCGGCAGTTATTGCAAGGCGATTATGAACATATTTTGATGCCTTCCACTCAGGTACGATAATAAGATAAACAAAAGAGAAAAGATTAAAAACAAAAACGTTCTAAATCTTAGAGGAGAAAGATGAAGCCATGTTACTTGATTATAACATGATATCTCCTAATTTTAGTTTTTATTTTGTTTCATTTTCATATTGATATATCAATCAATCATTTTACATTTTTTAAAACAAATTTGATTTTTCGTGTCCAACAGCTTACAGACTTGAAAAAAAATGTAAAACCGTCCAATAATGGTGAAATAGCAGTAATTTTCGAAGTAAAACTAGATATAACGGCATGCCATACCACATCAGATCTAAATGTGTAGACGTTCCTCTCCATGGACTCCGGCGCCATCCACTTCACCGGCAACTTGGCCTGCTTGTCTCTGGAACTGTAGTATTCAGTGGTGTATACGTCGCGAGTCAGGCCAAAATCGGCCACCTTGGCGCGCAGTTGGTCATCTAGCCTGGAAAATGTGAAAAACTAAGATATTTTGCTTACCTCTTTAATAATAATCGTTTTAATGTCTCACTAGAAAATGAGGTTTTAATTTATTTTGCTTATTATAACAACTGCTTCGCTAACTTATCCAACTGGTTATAATTATAAGATTATTATTTACGCAAAACGTACTATATTAAGTATTGTTTTTATGTGAAGGAGATGAAAGAGAAAACTACCTACATGCAGTTCCTGGCAGCTAAATCCCGATGGACAAATTTGTTTTCAGCAAGGTATTCCATGCCCCGGGCTACGTCCAAACCAAACTGCAGCAGCTGTAGTCCAGTAGGTGCCTAACATACCATAATATGCATATGTTATCCATAGCATAAAACTAATACGATATTCCCGATATTAAATTGTAATTTTTATTTTGACCAAAGAGGCGCTTTCAACGGGTCTTGATTCAAAACTTTGTATTTCCTAATATTTCACTTAATTATCTTCTCTAACTTTTCCAATGAACTCGTTTAATTCAACTTTTTAACCAATATGATCTTAAACAAATATCATGGTTCTTTAAAAACAAAAATCGTTACGCACATTCTTTGAATTTTCGATGTAAGATTTAAGATCTCCATTGGCCATATATGGTAATACAATCATGGGGTTGCCGTCGACTTCAAAGCATATTCCAAGAAGTGCCAACACGTGATCATGGCGAAATGACGTCATCAGAGCTGCTTCTCTGAGGAATTCATCTAGGTGCTGAATATCTGCTCCCTTCCCTGTAGGAGACGTTTCGTTCATGTATAGAATCTGCATGTTTACCGATATATATATATATATATATATATATATATATATATATATATATATATATATATATATATATATATATATATAGTGTGTGTGTGTGTGTAGTCGTAGTGTTTCATCATCACTGCTACCAGCATTCATTTATTTGAAACATATTTATTCAATACAGTTTGAATATATATTTTTATCTTCACATGTATTGATACATTATCACAAGACGAGGATAGAGCACTCCATACCACGTACCTTGGAAAGTTTTCACCGCTACTTTAGAGGGGTTGTAATGGTCGCTGTCCTCATAAATCGCTTCAAATACGCATCCAAAGTGTCCTGAAACAAACAAGAAAACAAAAAAGTAAATAACAGGTGTCCCTAGCGCGCACATAAACTATACTTAATGCAAAATTCACTCCAGCTGAATCTACCCATGAATCTGGCCAGAAGCACTGTGCAAATTACTAAAGCTTTGACCGGAGAGAGGGCAGGGCACTGGCGAGTTGATGGGGAAACTTAAGTTTTAAAAAACTTCAGACTCCAGCGTGAGTTTTAGACTCCGTTCACATGACAAATCTGTTTTCTAAAAATGTATTTTCTATTCGCGGTATCTTGTGATCACTCCGAGCGCAGCCGAGAATTATTAACAGCTTTGAAAGTAACTGGCTCGCGCTACCAGTAATTACGTCGCGGGGTATTTAGGGCACAGACCGTGATCACAAGATACCGCAAATAGAAAATAGATTTTTAGAAAATAGACTTGACATGTGAACGGAACCTTAACTACAGAGTAACGTGAACATGTATGCTACACGATGAACATTGACCCACCTGTGCCTAATAACTTCCCAAGTTTAATCCTCTCTCTGCACACAAGTACAGGCTTTAAAGCAGCTTTTAAGTCGCCATCCTTCACAAGCGCCAAGGCATCCTCTATCGTGTGGACAGCACGTGGCGGTGTGGTTTGACTGCTTAGACCGAGGTACTCCGTGGCATTGGCGCCATTGTGATTGGTAGTTGTGCGTTTTGAACGTCTTTTATAGACTACGGCTATAGTGATGATTCCAATGACTGATAGAATAACAACAGGGACAATTAACCCAGCTATCCAGCCATAACTTACTGGAGGATCCCCATAGTTTAGATATCCCACTTGGTAATGTAAGTTACCTATATGTATCTGGAAAGAAAAATAATGCCGTCCAATTATTCAAAATATGCGTGAATGTGAAATATGTTCACCGTGACTTATAATTACAAGTAGTTGACTTAAATAAAAAATAAAACCGAATGAGTTACCTAAAGGGGGCATTTTTATAGCAATTTTTCCTACAGATTTGTGTTCAAGTTTTCATTAAGTTAAGAAGTGGAGCATTTGAAAGAGCAGTATCCTCTAATTTGTTCCAAACAAGCAGGAGACAGACGACACTTTGTACCATTCATAAAACGTGGGCATGCATTTACCGCCGAACAAAAAAAAAAAAAAAAAAAAAAAAAAAAAATAAAAAAAAAAAAAACCAATATTTACAATGGAATGACACACTTACGGTCACCAGTTTATCTCCATAGTCAAAATATGGCGGCGTGCAGATGAGAACGCTTTGAGTCAAAGCGGTGACGTTACAATTTTGTCCACCAATCAGAACAATCACATCTGGTTTACTTGCAGCAAGGTTGATATATTTTCCCTGTTGAATGATATTGGATTTAATTTTAGTGTGTAATCATCGCACAATAGACGTTTTATTGTGGTTCATTAAATGTGGTAATAAATTACGCATTGGTTGTAGAAAAACGTCTGTGTGTTTTACAATATTAGTGTATTCCCGTTCCATTTATTAAGTATTTATTTTCATTATTTTTTATTATCATTAACATACTGTTATTTCCGTCATAATTTATTTATTTATTTATTTTTAGTTTTGGAACAAATTTGTTCATTGCTGTGAAAACGACTTTAGCAAAGATTGCCTCACACGTATTACGAAGTTAATGTTATTTTGGTATTTCACACTAGAACCGTCGCTGGTCAATTTCTGGAACAACGGGTCCACGACATATTGAAGAGTTGAAGCTATGTTGGTTAAATTTTGCACTGCTACCACTCCATCCATTATAAAACCGATCTCCACGGCATCATTGGTGTCCAACTGTCTCCTTAACCGCAGGGAACCTAGAGTGTCGGGGACCGATGCGATAATCCCGCTGGGCGCTCTGGGCGATGGACATGTTAATACGGTGCCTGACATTTCTGGTTGATGGAGGCAATTCTGTCAAGAAGACAAAAACAGTTGATTGACATGTTCGCCGTGTTGACAGAGTGTAATGGGCGAATTATTTGTAAAATCAACTAAAGAAAAAAATCAGAGAGTTACTATTTTGATTATGACGGTAGAAGTTAAAAATAGATACAGGTACAGGTAACAACTCATATCCTGGTAAAAGACAAGCTACCCCATCACATATCATTTATACACACTAATTTACACGGTGCACATCATACCTAACCACCCGCAACTGAGAAAAAGAGTGAGAGAGAGAGAGAGACAGTGAGAATTTTAATTCTTAAAAGAAATAATTGCCTTTTCCATACCGTTGTTTGCGACTTTTCCTTTCCATTCCATACAAACATCTTTGGCTGTTGAATCGAGTCAAAATTCTTCCCAGTGACCGTCAAATTCCGCCCTCCGCTTAATTATAAAAAACTGTCTTAAAAAACCATTGCACTTTTATCAGTAATATTTTCAAAGCAGTAATATCGACATATTACGTATCAAAACATAGAAAACAAAATATTAGAATTCTCGAAATGCCATGATAGCATACAAGGTTTACTTGTGTTAAATGGTAATTAATAAATCATTACAGCTTTGAACATTATTACAAAAATATGACTTCTTATCACATCCCGGCGTCATGTACGTTACCTGATGAAGCTGGTTAGTGGCATTATCTTCTCCACCACAGGATCCTCAGTGTACGTAAAGGGGTCCTGGTCCAGCATTCTAACATTGCCGTCAAAGAACACCCTGACAGAGGTAACAACCTTTGGCCTACTGACCCCTAGAGTGGTACATATGGTGGAATGGCTACCAATGCTACTTCTGGAAATGTAACAAAATGTTTCTTTCTAAGCACTTCGACATACTTTATGAGAATCTAAAGAGACTGCATTACTATGGCTGTATGTCTTAAAATTTTTCTATTTTGAATAATATTTCATATACAATTTTTCAAATTCTATCATTTTGTTTTTCATCGTTTGTAATGATATTAAGAGACTTGTGCAACTATCACTTATATATGTAACAACGCATTTTAAAGCAATTGTTGAAATAATGCTTATATTACCCTGTCTTACCAAAAAAAAAAAAAAAAACGTTTTTAAAAGATAGACCAAATTAATAAAATGAATATGGAAGCATATATTGCTAATTTAAGAGACATATATAACCTCCACTGAAAGTCCTAATTTTTAAAACAAAAATTACATCATCTAAAGCCTACATGTACAATATATGACGGATCCTAACCTGTCTAGGACACAAGGCAACATTTCCTCCCCCAGGTTTAGGCTGATATTGTCCAAGTTGCCAGCGTTAAGATCTTTCCCCCTCACAGTCAGCCTGGTGCCGCCAGACATGGGGCCTTTCACTGGGAACACTGCCTCAAGCTTGGGGTCCTGAAAGGGACAATAAAAGGAAAACAGCTTTCATTTTGGCGGGAAAAGTGCCAAAAACTGATTTTCCTGGGATAAAAGACGATGTTCCCATACTCAGCAATGGTTCATGAATCCGTTTCGACATTCAAAATAAGTCAATTGTTTTAAGTGTGTTTTTTTTTATAACCTCATAAGAGCTTATTACGGAAAGTTGTCACCTATGAAGGTCAACGTGACCAATGGCAAGGACATTTAGTGGTGTATCGAACTTATTTATATTTATGTGTTGTTCACAATGGAATTTTAAATCTCATATTAACAGTTGTTACATGTATCCCTTTAAAAACACTTGAAATTGCACATAATCTTATCACACCATAATCAATCATGAAATGACCAAATAAAATCAAAATGTACTCATTTAATATTATGTATAAAATCTAATATTCTACCACCAGCATCTGCCTTTCCACATTCCCATTGGTTTGGATATATAGATGTATTTCAGGACACTAACTCACCACATATCTGAACTGTTTGGAGTAGTTGTACACCCTGCCTAAACCCTGAATCTGGATCTCTATGGAACCATTCCTGCCCAACCTGCCTGGAGCTTCAGCTGCCGTACACATAATTCTGGAATCACACATGATTTTAGGTACTAACAGGATCTGGTGGTCATATACGTCAGAAATATGCCAAAAATTGCATTTCCGATTAAAATTGATGCGATCACGTCTTAAAAGTAAAATCTTAAAGTTCATGTCACAAAATACTCCTAGAAACGAATAATATAATTTCAATAAACTGCTAGTTTTTGAACAACAATATCCGTGGTGATGTGAATTGTACTGGTTTAGACAATCGTCAAACCCAATATACATGTTCCCACTGTTCCTTACCGCTTTGAGACCACATATTCTTCTACAACAGGTCTACAGGCCACCCCAGCCAGTCTAACAGTGGGTATGCTGGCATCAGAGGTGCCTAAATTGGTGCCATTGATGGTGACCTTGGTGTGACCTTCAACTGGGGCACTCAAGGGCGATACCTGTCAGAAAATGTTTTAATATCCAAAGGTTATATACGTTCTCTAGAACAATGCCTTTTGATTTTTCTACCTTGTCCCCAAAGAACTTTCATATTAATAATAACGGTTTGTTGTAAAAAATTTAATACGTTTGTCTAAGAAAATAATGCTTGCTGTGATAAGCACATTCACGTGTCAGGCTGGATGGTGATATGGGCATTACATTTACAATACCTTACAGTACTCACCCAATTAATGATGACATCAGGACAAGTGCTCTCAGCTGGCACACTGCATGTTGGGCGATACTTGCACGTCCCTCCACAGAAAGCACAGCCAAATTTTGTATCCACAGCACCAATACATGTGCCACATGTGCTCCCAATCACGTCACATTTGTACAGGGTGGCTGGAAAATATTGAAAATATTTCAGTGTTGTGTTTTACCAAATAATCAATAATCAATATCCATAATGTGCTGAAGTGTTACAAATAGTAGTTCATATGCATGCAGTATGTTTCTATTTTAGGAGAGAAATTATTATTGAGGAGATTGTGGGAGTTCATCTGTTTTTTTTTCACCAAAATAGAATTATAACTACTTTTTTAAATAGACGGTCGGTTGAACAGACCAATGACGATATTTTGAGCACTTATGCAGAGGGTAATTTATCCCATTATAAAAATGCTATTATTCTTTTCATAACTCGTGCGTAATAACATGCGCCTCACAAGAAAATATACTTACCGCTCACTTGAGAGCCGGTGGGTTGGTCTATCACATGGTTATTATTCCAGATTACTTGAATTTCATGCCTCTCCTGGCCTGTGATGGCTGTATACACATACTAAGATATGAAAAGAACGAGTCGCCAATTATAGCATTATAAATATCAATATATAAAGCGTTACTGAAGTTGCACGCCTAGAATGCATACATACGTTAGGGTTTGGCTACGGTCATATGCCTTTCAAAATCACTTGTTTGAGGGCACCAGTGTTCAATCACTTATTCTCATAGCTTCTGTAACAAAACGTGCCATTTAAAACATCATATCATATTTACAGTACGTGTATATGCCTTGCATCATATCTACTCACAGTGTGTCTCTTGCAGTCTATGGCACTATCATTCTGTCTGATAGCTGGGACGGTGTTTGTACCTATCTTACACTGATAATCACCTTGGCCAGCCTGGAATAACATTGGGGTGAGTTTAAGATTATCCAAAATTATTGCAGAGTACAGCAAAATGTGGGACTTCATTCATGTATTCCTAATGAAACTCTGTTCTGAGTTCGAAGGTCTGATACATCAACCTTGTTATGAACACTGATTTGGAACTGAACTTTTGCTTAAAGGTAAGAATGAAAAATCACAGTTTATCTTTTCATAATTCTAAGGTGTGTGTATATGAATAAAAACATAAGTAGGAGGAGTGTATAACTACATGTACAAACTGCTAACAACAACGTGTTTTCTATAAGTAAATCTTTACCTGTGGCACAGGTAGGTTCTTCCCACTGAGTGAGATCACCTTGGTGACCCCAGCAGGTAACAGGACGTCCTGTGCACGTGGCAGGAGCTGGGGACACTTTGTGGGACCTTTAATAGCCACATTGGCAAGACTCTGAAATAATGGAAACAAGACAGTGCGATTCCTAATTAATAGAATATGTTTCTGTTCTTGAACACCGAAATGAAAGATTATTGCATAGATAAAGAATATTCATTTCTCATTTCAATGATGTTTCGCATATTTCACAAGCAACAGAAACTGAATTTTATTTTCTTTATCTGTTGACATATTTAAGAGAACCAATACGAAACACATTTACTTGAAACAACAAATGTCTTATGACTGACCAGTATTATCTGGCTTAATGTAAATTTTCAAGAAATAAGGTATACACGGAGTACTCCACAAGGAATTGCACGTACATTCTGTCCAGGTATCACCCCTCCACTAGGACTACAAGTACTGCTGACGTGCGTGCACGTGTTAGCATATATACACCAGTCACAGACCCAACTACTGCTGGTACAGGACACACACCTACAGTAATAATACATACATACACGTGTTAGCATATATACACCAGTCACAGGCCCAACTACTGCTGGTACAAGACACACACCTACAGTTATAATACATACATACACGTGTTAGCATATATACACCAGTCACAGACCCAACTACTGCTGGTACAAGACACACACCTACAGTTATAATACATACATACACTTGTTAGCATATATACACCAGTCACAGACCCAACTACTGCTGGTACAGGACACACACCTACAGTAAAAATACATACATACACGTGTTAGCATATATACACCAGTCACAGGCCCAACTACTGCTGGTACAAGACACACACCTACAGTTATAATACATACATACACGTGTTAGCATATATACACCAGTCACAGACCCAACTACTGCTGGTACAAGACACACACCTACAGTTATAATACATACATACACGTGTTAGCATATATACACCAGTCACAGACCCAACTACTGCTGGTACAGGACACACACCTACAGTAATACATACATACAACTGTTAGCATATATTCACCAATTCCAGACCAACCTGCCGTTGGTACAAGAAACTCATCTAACAATAAGAACTACAGTATTAGTCACATATCCTCACTGTATGTACGTGCGTGCGTGCGTGCGTGCGTGTGTGTGTGTGTGTGTGTGTGTATAATGTGTTATTGTATCCCTGTGCATGGTGTTTTCTTATGCCCCTATTCCACAGCGACTAAGAATTGGCACGAAAGTTTCAAAGCAGTCTTCCCTGTGTTGAACATCCATTTCGGAAGTAAAGCCCAAGCAAGGACAGTTCGAATTCTACTAAAATATGCAAAATCCCGCGATTCCTCTTGATTTCTAAAATCCGTGGAATTCGTAGTCGGTGTGGAATAGGGGCATTTAAGGAACGGGACACACACACACAACTAACAATAATTTCAAATACTAATTAAGGAGCCACATTTATATGTTTGCATATGTACAGGTATATGTACAGGTGCATGGTTATGCTAGTGCAGATGGCTTTTTATAAATGATTATAAAAGTTATGTGTCCTTAAAGAATGATCCTGATTAGATAAAGATGAAGATATAACAATGCAAAAACCCAATTGGGATGTGGCCACTTAGGATACATCATATCATATCATATATTGAAAATAATAAGGTCATGTGACACCCTTGTTCACACCAAAAATTGGTTCGAAAACACATCGCAGCAAATAACATCTAAACATCTAAACTTCGCATTTTAACTGTTTCTTGAACTTAAAGGGACTCCGTAGTCATTCCAATAAGATAGAGAGATAATGTATAACAATACAATACCCTGAGTGTGCGCCGCAGTCAAAATATGTGAAGTTGGTCGTTAGAAACTTGACTCCTGTCGCTAATGATTTGATAGATAATGGTATTGTGATGTGATCTGGAATGACAGCCATACTTTCTTTAGCATGCGATTTAATAAATGTGTTTTATTAGAGATATATAGATTCTTTAAGAACAAACGTGATCCATTGTTGCCGTAATAGGCAAATTCCAATATAAAAAAATAATTGAATTTCTAGTAGAATTATAGTTTTCAATTAATATTCTATTATTTTACAACTGTTGGTTGGCACATTTATCATATAAAAATTCTTTGAAAAACAAAAGGTACATTAAAAAAAGCTATTCTGTTACTATTAAAATACGATATATGAGTATTGTCAACAGTTTGATTATGTATTTATGGATAAGAGTGAGGTAGATTGTTTTAGATGGTCACCCTGTACATGAAATACTACACCCCTTACCGTCCCCAGTTGGTATAGTAGGCAAGCTGGTGGGTGTGTCACATGTCACCAAGTTCCCCCCAGTAACTGTTGCACTGACAGCTGTGGTATCAAATACACACTGGTAGGTCTGGCCTGGGGGTAGCAGGCTTACAGATAGGTTCACCTACAAACACGAATGAAATAGTGGTTCTTTGCTTAGATGGTAACTTCTGGGTTCCCATACCTACATCTAACAGGGTCGATTCATCTCCAAGGAGTTTCTCGCTAAATTGCTTTCTGCTTAAGCGGCCTAGATATCTGCCACGCCTACTGAAGCTGCTAAACAATAATTAATTACCCCCTAGCAGCTTCAGTAGGCGTGACGAACATCTAAGCCGCTTAAGCTGATTGCAATTTAGCGAGAATCCCACTGGAGATAGATCGATTCACAGTTAGAATGGTCCCGTATATTAAAACCTAAAAATGTATATCGGACTAAAGTGATATCATACCCCAGCACTAGTACGAGATGTCGATATCTCGACACATTTCGGTGTTTAGTGTGCATAATGGTCTCGAGACTGGTTACCGCACCGCTTGCACTTCATGATCAGTCAATAATTTACACACGGAGTTGTGGTACAGAGTTTACATTATCTACCTCAGTGCGCATGCACAAAGATGTATGGCAGTGAAGACCATTGCTACATGTACAAGTTGTTCTCTTCTGGACTCTACACGAGCGATGGACAGAGTCCATTAAAATTCACCAAGAAAATTATTGATGGTATTGTGAAATGAAACAAAAGTTGGTGATGAAATAATTCAACGTGTATAGCAATTCTTTGTACCTGTGTAGGTCTGGCTAGAGGTGTGTTTGATGGTGAAATGGTATTGATCTTGGTACACTGTCCGTTATCAAAGGGAAGCCATCTTCCTGAGCCATCTGCATCCGAGCATTGACTTTTTCTGCTGCATCTGAAAAAGAAACACGTGAAGCAAATTGTCCCTTGCACTAAGAAACGACCTTTTATTCCGCCTAAAATAACATAGCATCATGTTGGATAACAAAAATGGATGATGTAAGTTGTGCATGGGTTACTGGTAGTTTTTCAGTCACACGTTCAAAATTGACCTTTTAAGACAATCTGTGTTGGTAGATACAACTGTATGGAAATACATGGTTAATAAAATATGAAAATATCGTTATTTTATTCCTCTGCAACATTTTGCCACGCATACTTACACACGTAAATAAGATATAAAAACGCAGCAAGTAGCTCTTAAATAATACACTTTAATATGAACAGGTTGAATGCTTAATTGAACTTCTACTCAGCGAGTTTTAGTCATAAAGTGTGTCAAGCAAATCGTTCAAATGTGAACACACAGTATTCTCTTCTTACTTGTTCTCCAAACTACACCACCCACAGAACGGGTCTCTAGATGCCAGACACTCATCACAACTGTTGTAACTACCGCAGTCTTCTACCTTCAGTTTACTGATCTGGGAAAAGTTTGATATATACTTACATATTTGGCTCATTATATAATCTAAATTGAAAGTCCTGTTCTCATTACATTCAATCCTTGAGCAAAAATACTGAAGGTGTATAGATACATATCAAGCATATACAAACATCCCAAACAATATCAAACATTTGACCCACGTCCATCTTAGATCATCGTTGGCAAATTAAACGCATAACTAAACAATTTAAAATGCAAATCTTTTTTCATTTAAAAAGAGCCATTTTAAGTTTTTAAAAATGTACTTTGTTTTTTTTCCACATATAACTACACAAGCGTATGCAAGCTACGTTTGCTAGCCACTTATGTGCCAGCTGCATAGAACTCACCTTGTATTTGGTCATAACATACACGTGCTCTCCTGTGCTATCTAACTGTATATCTTTAACCTCATCGTTTGACACTTGTACTGATGCATATTCTACCGCAGATGTATTAGACTGGATTAATATCTGAAGACATTTTTAACGGTTAGAAATTTCATATATGTAAAACGGATGTTCTTTTTTAAATGAGTCTGAATAAAATGTGCAGAGTAAACCTTTTAAAACTAGAATACATTTGAAAAAGTATTTACCTATTAAAAACACGGTTTTTATGCTTTATCATACTTTAAACTTTAATATAAAATCCCTTTTTGATCAAACTTGCTTTTGAATTTTTGTGTAAAAACACAATATGTTGATAAATTTTACCTTACTAACATTATTAAACAAACGAGAAATTTAGTGGCGTGCTGTTCGAGTATCAATACAAGAAAACCAACAACTCAGTACCTTTGAGTTACTTTGAGTTTGCTGTACCTTTTTTAGTTGCCCGTCATCAGTTCCTACAAAAGCCACAGTGTAGCTGGTGGTGGTTGTGGTGGCTACTACTGTCCATGTGGGCCACGTGGCTGTCAGAGCAGGGGTTGATATTGCCGGGGTGGATGACACTAGGGGCGTGTTAATGCCGCCAAAGTCATGGTTACAGTAGTTTGACCCATACATGTAGTTATATGACTGGAGATATAAATGTAGTCAATATGAAGTACGTGAAGGACGATGAAAATAGATGGACTGTAACTTTATCGACTATCCGCTATTAGATAAAAGAGGCCTGTAAGATTGAGCATATGTTATTTTCATGATAAGATTAATTGAACAGCAACAATTAAATGTTTACTCACTGGCACGGAAACGCATCGTGAACGGTAGTAATGTGCTGCAGCCTCAGTATATCCATTCCCAGCGTAGCACTGTTCGTATTTCTCTTTAATAATGATGTTTATACTCTCCATTGAAAATACACACAAAGCTGAACTAGATCCTCTGAAAAATGAACCCACTAGCACCTCATCATCTCCGAAGTTTGTAACCGATATGGATTTAGCAATATTGAACCATACGTTATTATTACGATTGGGCACTGCGCAATGCAAGGGCATTTCGAAGTATGAGTAGTAGTTAATATCATTCTGGCAGATTCGAATTAATCTCGATTCATACTCTGTGCTTGCAAGTGCTGTCTTTTGGTTCGTGATTAAATAGCTATAACCGTTCAGAGAGAAACCAGATACGTAATTTACTGGATAAATAGTCCGGGCAGTGTCAGAGAGGGTTATGTACGTTCCTGAACCAGACAGTGCGTTGTAGTTCGTTAATTCCAGTGTCTGTAGAGATCTTGTACTAACAGCCGCCACCTGCTCCCGAAGCCTCCCACTCTCCCCCTGCCCCGTGTACGTAGAAGCCACATATAACACGTCCTGTGAGTTGGGTCCCGGTGCTATAAAAGCCACAGTGGAAGCATCGGGAGAATTAGCGGCAACGTAAGTTTCCAAAGGGTCAGAGCCGCGATGTGGGGTAACCTGCGTTAAATCAGTGACAGGTCTAGACTCACATGTACCTTGGTACACGCTACCACAAGATATCAGTTTACCCCCAGACTGGTCTACTACCAAAATTTTGTTGTAGTTGTCTGTGAGTGTTCTCTGTGAGCAGGAAGAAGGAGGTGGACTACAGTAAGGACTATCCGTGACTGGTCCAGTGGTTGCGCTCTGTAACAGTTGCAAGTCGCCATTCAGTCGGTACAAAGTATTAACAGCCTCAATATATACGGTTCCAGTCACGTTGTCAATCACCATGTTGTTAAACTCTACCGTTGTCTGCCCACTTGGATAAGAACTGACAATTGTGGAGGTGGATGCTCTACCGGTCAGATTGAATACTAGAGCGGAGAGGAATAACAACATCATAAACTCCCCTCCTGTTCGCTGCATTCTTTATAATAAGCACTGGAATTGGAAACGTTTTTTATAGTGTACCGGCATATATATGAAATGACTCACAAGTACTATGACACGAACACACAGGGCGATGTAATGCCTCCTCCATGCAATGTACAGTGCAATGTATACAGGAGAATAGTCATTATTTAGTTGGGCAAAACGCTTATGTTTTGTCAAAGCCCCTATTTACGGGCGTCGAGGACTTTTTAATGTCCTCACAAGTAGTATAAGCCAGACGCAAGCTATCAGGACTGTTAATGATATGGGGGAAATGGAGTGGCATTTTTAAGTAACCAAACACTTCTAAGATAAGTATATTTTTTGTTCGATCGTGACACAATACATTCTACAAACATATATATCTTGAAACTTACCTGGGGGACTTGAAAGGTACTTGTACGTTTATATGGGGATCTTATTCCGCTACAAGCAATACATTTCCGTCTGCTATCACAAAGAGTCAAACATCACTTCCTGGTTGCTGGGCTTGACTACGTTGTAATTACATTGCAATTGCTATTTTTACTGTGTCTACTAAACAAAGTACATTATCAAGTAGGTCATACGTGTATAAGGATAGTTTGGTTGTTTGCGTCCTTAACTGGAAGGTACGATAAAATACGGTTGTTCGGTATCCCATAAGCATTTATACATCTGTACGACAGCCATCTCTGTCTTGTTGTTGATAAGATTTTGGCTAGATGTCTATTTATTAACCAGCTTTAATATCTGCCATGCCTACCGAATAAGCTACCGGGTAAAGATAATTACCCCCTTGCAGCTTTACTATGCGTGACAGGCATTTAATCCGGTCACGTTGACAGCAATTTAGTGAGACTCCCCAGGGAGATAGATCGATCCAGATATCTGTGGGAATGGTCTCTATATTACAGAACAGGCAGAATTATTTAAGAAGTATTGAGGTATCAGCTCGATATTACATGTCGATTTAGTATAATGCGTTAATCTGATCATGAAATGATTGTAAAAGTTGTTGACAACTTAATGGCTGATGCACAAGATATCAGAGGGGAGAATACTTATAGCTTAGTTTAGTCTCACCTACGTACGGATTGCAAGCCAGATACTGCATTCATAAAAAAGTGAATGATTCAATACAAAACCAAAATAAATGTACCTCTCCTTTTAAATTGCTTTGCATTGGTTGTGATTTGAGACGCCATCATGGCTATCATGAAGTCTTCAGTGGAATACTAGATAATTGTTTTCAGTCCGGTCTGATGAAGGAAGAATCATTAGATGCGATGAACCCCTACGAGTGTAGAAGTATTGTGGGTTGTGTGGAAAGTTAGGAATAGAAGAAATTGACAAATATGTGAAGAAGATTCCACCAAACCTTCACAAGGTAGATGGTGTTCAATACTGGGAAAAGAAATTGGATTCCTCAAAGTGAAAAACATGTCTACATTCACAGAAAGATGGAGAAGAATAGCAGTGTGGACTTTTCATGATGAACAGTACTTTATCAACAAGGAAATGTTAACTGGTGAGTTAAAATGTAGATGTTGTATCTAAAGACAGACTCTAGTAAGCCCACACTGATGTCATGAGTGGCTTTGACTAACATGAGCTTGACTTTAATGTTTTTGCTGTTTGGAACTGTATATTTGCCGGTTTTTCTACCTAGATTTCTTAGACCCCATTCCCACAGATTTTAGATCGATCTATCACTGTGGGGAGTCTCACTAGATAACTGTCAGCTTAGCCGGCTTAAGCGTCTGTTCCGCCTACTAAAAGGTGTAAGGGGATAATTAACTATGGTGCGCGCTCGGCGTGAACCCCCAGGGAGTTAGGTCGATCTAAATCTAAATTTGTGGATCGACCTAAATCTCTGGGAATGCACCCTTAGGTACAACATTATCAAAATTAACATTTTTCAGCACCATGTGGAGTTAAATCTTTTTTAAAAAGAGAGGTCATAGGATTTTTTTGCTGCATACCTGTATCGTTTTACTGTGAAATATTGATGATTCTTTCATTAATTTTCTCACTTGCTTTGTTAAAGGTTACACAATAATAAGGAGAGCTTTGGAATACTTCCTGACAGCATCAAAGAGGATTGGACAACTCCCCACTGACATGAAAATCAGAGAATAGACAGTGACTGATGAGTGATAACTGCTAAAACCGTATTTTTGTTTTACTTTAAAATTGCTGATTAGCTTTGTTTGGTAAAGAGGCAGATTGCTTTCCAAAATCAGCATGATCAGTGTGCATTTACAGTAATTATTATTTTTTGTGAAAACTTTATTTTCCTGACAGCATCAAAGAGGATTGGACAACTCCCCACTGACATGAAAAATCAGAGAATAGACAGTGACTGATGAGTGATAACTGCTAAAACCGTATTTTTGTTTTACTTTAAAATTGCTGATTAGCTTTGTTTGGTAAAGAGGCAGATTGCTTTCCAAAATCAGCATGATCAGTGTGCATTTACAGTAATTATTATTTTTTGTGAAAACTTTATTTTCCACACATAAGCATTTGTAGTGGCTTTTATATCCAATGAAAATAAATCACTTGCTAGTTCAATGTCCATGTTGCCTGTTCATAAATTAAAAGAGTATGAGTGATTATCCTGTTTTAAAGCATTAAAAATGCATCAAAATAGGCCAAATCATTGTTCCCTGCACTTTTTTCTGCGTGTCTAAAAATTTGACAGCTTTGCTGCCTTGTTTACTGTATGCTGTCTGTATATTTGTCAGCTTTGCTGTCTAGTTTAAATGTATCTTAGAACAAAATATGTTAAAATGTTATTCAAAACATTTCATTGTAGCGGTAGGTGGGGGCTGACCTTTAATGTATTTCATCAGAGTAATGTAAAATTGCTTAGTAAAAAGATATACAGAGGGCACTAATAAGGTGTAACCCAAAAATTTTGGTTCTTTAACTCACAGTTTACTCAATCAACAGCTGCAGTTTGATACAGTGAGAATAACCAGATGACTGCAGACTCTTTATAATGTTCTTAGCGCGAAGAAAGACGTGTTGTTTATTTGATACGCTGTGGTCTTGTGGTTCAGTTTGCGTTTCCAGCTAAGTATTCTTAACTTATCAGCATTCTATGTTCGCATTAGTTTCGGGGACTCCAGAAGATGCCATTCATAAAAATTAAATCTGTGTCATCTAAGAATATATGAAGGAATTAATAAAGATATTGTATTTGCAGTAATACGTCAAAATGTACAATTGCTTTATAAATTTGATCTAATAAAATTAATGGTCAGAATAAAATTACAGTGGTAGTGAAAGTGACACACTGAAATGAATATTCTGACAGTTGACCACATCTTCATAATGTAAAACTTCATTTGCTTTCAACTTGACTAATAAAATCGTATTTTGGTAATTTGTGTAATTCCTACATGTTCTAGTAAAAGGAATTTAAGATATCAGTCAATATAAATATCAGTTTCAGTTAAGATTAATACCACACTCGTAACACACCTGATAACATAGGGAACTTTCTGACACTGATTTTTTTTTTTAATTACCCAATATCAAGATCACTAGCAATAAAAATTTGGTTATGCACATTATTTCCGGAAATTAGACCAAATAAATCTAATCACCTCAATATGAAATACACTGCACGTACGTTTCAAAAGGCCAGTTGTAAAGTTAATTATTTCAAAAATGTATAACTTAATTTAGATGCTATTGTTATTTGTAATACTGCCTTATAGCATGATAATCGTTAGACAATATAGTGCCCTGATAACGTTAACATACTAGTCCATACGGTGTGACAGTATTCAATTTGAGTGAGGGTAAAATGAGTGAGTGTGAAATATTGGGAGTGCACTTGTCATTAACTACAGATGCCCCAAGTAATTTCTTTTGGGTATGTTAACTTCACATTCCTTGCCAATATNAAAAATCAGAGAATAGACAGTGACTGATGAGTGATAACTGCTAAAACCGTATTTTTGTTTTACTTTAAAATTGCTGATTAGCTTTGTTTGGTAAAGAGGCAGATTGCTTTCCAAAATCAGCATGATCAGTGTGCATTTACAGTAATTATTATTTTTTGTGAAAACTTTATTTTCCACACATAAGCATTTGTAGTGGCTTTTATATCCAATGAAAATAAATCACTTGCTAGTTCAATGTCCATGTTGCCTGTTCATAAATTAAAAGAGTATGAGTGATTATCCTGTTTTAAAGCATTAAAAATGCATCAAAATAGGCCAAATCATTGTTCCCTGCACTTTTTTCTGCGTGTCTAAAAATTTGACAGCTTTGCTGCCTTGTTTACTGTATGCTGTCTGTATATTTGTCAGCTTTGCTGTCTAGTTTAAATGTATCTTAGAACAAAATATGTTAAAATGTTATTCAAAACATTTCATTGTAGCGGTAGGTGGGGGCTGACCTTTAATGTATTTCATCAGAGTAATGTAAAATTGCTTAGTAAAAAGATATACAGAGGGCACTAATAAGGTGTAACCCAAAAATTTTGGTTCTTTAACTCACAGTTTACTCAATCAACAGCTGCAGTTTGATACAGTGAGAATAACCAGATGACTGCAGACTCTTTATAATGTTCTTAGCGCGAAGAAAGACGTGTTGTTTATTTGATACGCTGTGGTCTTGTGGTTCAGTTTGCGTTTCCAGCTAAGTATTCTTAACTTATCAGCATTCTATGTTCGCATTAGTTTCGGGGACTCCAGAAGATGCCATTCATAAAAATTAAATCTGTGTCATCTAAGAATATATGAAGGAATTAATAAAGATATTGTATTTGCAGTAATACGTCAAAATGTACAATTGCTTTATAAATTTGATCTAATAAAATTAATGGTCAGAATAAAATTACAGTGGTAGTGAAAGTGACACACTGAAATGAATATTCTGACAGTTGACCACATCTTCATAATGTAAAACTTCATTTGCTTTCAACTTGACTAATAAAATCGTATTTTGGTAATTTGTGTAATTCCTACATGTTCTAGTAAAAGGAATTTAAGATATCAGTCAATATAAATATCAGTTTCAGTTAAGATTAATACCACACTCGTAACACACCTGATAACATAGGGAACTTTCTGACACTGATTTTTTTTTTTAATTACCCAATATCAAGATCACTAGCAATAAAAATTTGGTTATGCACATTATTTCCGGAAATTAGACCAAATAAATCTAATCACCTCAATATGAAATACACTGCACGTACGTTTCAAAAGGCCAGTTGTAAAGTTAATTATTTCAAAAATGTATAACTTAATTTAGATGCTATTGTTATTTGTAATACTGCCTTATAGCATGATAATCGTTAGACAATATAGTGCCCTGATAACGTTAACATACTAGTCCATACGGTGTGACAGTATTCAATTTGAGTGAGGGTAAAATGAGTGAGTGTGAAATATTGGGAGTGCACTTGTCATTAACTACAGATGCCCCAAGTAATTTCTTTTGGGTATGTTAACTTCACATTCCTTGCCAATATGTCATTATTTGAAGATTTAGACTAGGACTTTTGATATATATATATATATATATATATATATATATATATATATATATATATATATATATTCCGTGTACCATTTGAAGATTACACTGTAATTCAAATGTTATGAAGCGGAATACAACACAAATTACATTTTTAATTAATAATCCTACTGTAACAAGTGCTGCATTTCTTTTGACTCTTCACCTGACAAACACATGATGGGGTTATAAACAATAGACGAGTTTTATCACTGAGCAGATATATGCAAACATGTCATATGATTACAAATAATGGCCGAGATTTGACAGATTTATGTCAAGGAGGGGCAACAAGTTTATCGATCACCTAAGCAGTAGTAACTGTTGCCCCCTGCATTGCGTCGTGTACATATGTACTAGTACGTACAAGTCACAGGGCCACTTAGACTAACAATCGTATCAAATATAGTGCATGCTATCTCTAGTGACATGGTACAGTTTTCACAAATATTTCAAAGCCCCAATCACGTGATCATCTGCTACCACACTATAAAGAAAGCCATATACATTTGGCTATTGGACTATTCAAAGATCGCGAATTATTGCATTGTACTCTGATGTGACAAAATGGTCGAGGCATTGGCAGCAGCTTTCACGGATAATCTTTTGACATGTAGCATCTGCCTGGGAGAGTATGACGACCCTCGTGTGCTGCCTTGCTACCATACATTTTGCTATGGTTGTATATGGGACTATGCTACGCGAACTGTTTCTCAGGACAGGACATTTTTGTGTCCCCTTTGTAGAGAAGAGTTACTATTTCCAAGAGAAGGACTATCACTGAAAAAGAATCATATGATTCAGAAGGCAAAAGATCTTCTCAGTCAGCGTCAGCAGCATGAAGTCTCATCCCCAATCAAAGACAATGATGTGCATGGTGTGACACAAGCCATTGCAGAAATGATAAGTACGTGTGAGAAGCATCCTACAAATGAATTGAAATACTACTGTGAAGACGATGATGCCGTTGTTTGTGGTGACTGTGTACCTAAAGAGCATTACAGGCATGGTATCGTGCCCGTTGAGCTTGTGGCGAATAGCAATCGAAAAAAGATTAAAGCTGTCCTTAAGAAAAGTGAAACAAAACTGGACATGTTTAAAGAAGCAGTTGCAAAGAACAGGACCAATGAATTGGAGGAGTTCAATACGGAAGATACCATCAACATAATTCAAGGACAGGCTCGATCTATCCAAAGACTGGTTGAGCAGAGAGCACAAAGACTGATATCAGAAGTAAATTTTGCTTGTGATATCAGAAAAATGCAGGAGGCAAACAAGGACACCTTCGAACTTCACCATGCCTCCTTAGAAAGTGCCTGCAGATTTGCCCAGGAACTTGTAACAAATGGCTCTGATTCTGACATCATGCTTCACACTAAGGCTCTGACAGAGAGACTGACAGTGATGGAGAAAATACCAATGCCAACTCCAGACACACAAGCACAAATATCTTACAGACCTGGTAAGATATCTGCTGCTGGCCTGGAAGCCATGTTAGGAGAGGTTAGAGTGCATTTCAAACCTCCAATCGCTGAAGAGGAAACAATTCCAAAATCAGCAGTGCACTCTCCCGGGCGTGAAGCCATGTTAGGACAGGCGATAGTACAGTCACAGCGTCCTAGATCTAGACTGGGTGTTATGAACCTTCTGCACAATCTTCTGAGTCCAAGATCAGCACCACATTCTGTTTTCTTAGAGAAGGCAAAATGTGTGCATTCCTTCAAAGCGAGACTGATTGATGATAAAAGTGACACGTTCGTAACTGGGCTGGCCATAGCTGAGCAATACGTGATTACTGTGGATGGAAACAACTCTGTTAGTAAAGAAGGAAAAAGCATGACAAAAGTATTCACACATGCAGGAGAATTCGAATTTGATGTTAAACTAAATAACCCATTTGATGCGGCCGTGTCACAGACTGGCCAACTGTACATAACATCACTGGGTGACAAATGTGTCAAAGTGTACTCCACCAGTGGTCAGGATGTGACAACCATCGGTTGCGGTAAACTTGAGGGTCCACGTGGTATCACAATCAACAAACAAGGTCATGTGATGGTGTGTGACAAAACAAAAGAATCTATCTTCACATTCCATGCAGACAGTGGACATCTCCTGAATATTATTCCACTCAGTATGTGTGTTCAGCACCTCCTGTACATAACAGTGAACAGGGTGGATGATAATATTGTGATATCAGACTATGGCAGTGACTGTGTACATGTGCTGTCACCTACTGGTGATCAGCTGCACCAGTATGGCACACGAGGCAGTGGTGATGGTCAGCTGTGTGGACCAGGGGGAGTGTGCACAGACAGCTTTGGTCACATCTTCATTGCTGACTATTGGAACCACAGGATAGTGGCACTGAGTCCACAGGGACAGTTCATCAGATACATTGCCACTGCCGACGATGGGTTAGAGAGTCCCACAGCATTAGCCATCAACCCTGCTGGCTATCTGGTGGTAGCATGTGGTGACAAAGTTAAGACATTTCAGTACTTACAATAGCTATACTTTCCACTTCAATACATTGTTATACTGAACTTTGATGTGACCTCGATAGTTACATAACATAAAACCTAAGCAGTAGTTTAAAGCCTGCTGAGAAACCACAGTGTTACATTTCACGATGTACGATGTAATATAGATGCATGGCATTTCACGGTGTACAATGTTATGTACTAGTTAGTCATGTTCTTTTCTCATACTCACAGCAAATACTGCACTGCTGACCTGTTAATTCTTCCAAATGAGTCACGATTTTAAATTTCTTTAATAGAAAAGGCAAATTATAGATTCTAGTACAAACTTCCCAGCAGGCATAGTTGCGTTGGATCAACGTTGAAAACAGGTTGATACATTGAATTGCCGTTGATCTACCTAAATTCAACGTAAAATCAACATTGATCCAGCCACGTCGAAACACCGTCATAATGTGACGTTGACTCAATGTTGTATTTTGGTCATTGACACAACCTTGCAGACATGGATTATATTTTAAAATATTAATTGTTGAAAACGTGATACTTTGTTTATCAATACTGTAGCTAACTTTATCAAAATAATCAAAAAAGGGGTTAAAAGTAAAAGTGACAGTTGTTTTGTGCCTTTAGTGAACTAGTGAATTTTCTTAACTTGTTATTCAGAAATACATTCCAATAAACTGAATTCCTTGCAAGGTCTGCTAACACTAGGATAAATAAGTTGCTGTAAATGTGATGGAGTGAATTAATAAAGTTAACAGTTCTTGGTAACCTGTTATACATAGATAGTTTGATTTGATATATATATATATAAACCTTGGGAATTTTAACTTAAAGGCCCTACTTTTATACCCTACCCTCAGGTCATTTCAATGTCTTTTCATGCAAGAATGTTGTCTAACAACTGGGGTTGATACAATGTTGTTATCTGACGTTGATACAACGTTGTTATCTGACGGTGAGTCAACTTTCAAATCCAATGATTATCCAGCGTCTTATCAACGTTATGGTTCAACGTTGCTTCAATGTTTAAACAACATATTTTGCCCGCTGGGTAACAGCTACTTGTAGTACTATTAGTTAATATTTAATCCCCCCTCCAAAAAATGAATTAGATCAGCCATCATTGTAAAAATCTTACTACGGTAAAAATTGAACATTCAATTACATTTATTTACTATGCTATTATATTGTTTTTATTTCAATACAATCAGATATTGACTTCAGTCTCGTGTTCCTTTTTTCGTTCCTTTGAAACAATTTTGAAGCCTCAGTTATCAATAATTACCATGGTTCTGAAGAGAGAGAACGGAGCCGAGTTTTAATTACTGTACCCCGCAGAGACGACGTGTGGGGATCGAGGCGTGTGAGAGGGGGAAAGACTATTAAAAGATTAGGTGGTTTTTCTTACATGTACGTCCGCCATTTTTACTTCTCAGGATTTGTAAAGCCTGGCTCAATTCGTTGAGAATGCGGCCATATACTGCCGCATAGAGAGATGCATTAATTGTTCCAATGGCGCTGTGTATGTCTCTGTAGCCTTTTGGTTCGATTTTAATGGCTTCATTTTTCATGAACAAAATCTTAAAAACTAATTATTTCAATACATTTCACAATTCAATTTATTCAAACTTATGGACAGTTTTGGTACGATCTGCCAGAAACCTCAACAAAATAATAATATTGTGATAAAAATCTGTAAGTGGACAGTTTTGATATCAATTACTACTGGATTCTTTCATGGCCAAAATGACCAGCTCTCAAAGCCTGCAGCCTCGTTATGGATCACAGACTGGTGCGAATTTAACGTCATACCCAAAATATATCTCAAAAAGTGTCAGCATTCACATCATTTTCAAGACTGATTTTTTTTTTTTTTTTTTTTTTTTTTTTACACGTAAAGTCTAGCCATTTTAATAAAAACCAATACCCCCAAAAGCAATTCTACTGTCTGGGAAAGTTTCCAAGAAAATTAAATTATTTTCAACAAAAGTCTCAGACACTTCTCAGAAGCTCACCTATCAGCTGAGAGCAAAAGAAAAATCCACACAATAATTTTAATAATTAAAAATTCAATGAAAGTTTATAAGTGTGAGATATTGGGAGTGTTATGAGATCCAAATGCCCCAAGTTATTACTTTTGGGTCCCCTAATTTCACATTCCTTGTCAATTTGCCATTACTTCAAGCCTTTAGACTGGAACTTGGTGAGTCGGCCAGCCAAAGGGGACAGTCAAAATGGCGCCTACTCTATTATCAGAAAAGCTCGCTGAGCACGAGTGGATGTACCTCGGAAGTCAGGTCAGTCCAGTTGAAATCACCCAGGCCAATATAGGCCTTCTTAATGGTTTGAAGGCATCGATTGTTCTAAAAGGACAAAAGTTTGTGCATTTTTTCTGATGACCTACGTAAAACTGGCACATTTAGTGATGTAAACACATAACATTGTAAACTTTAGTAAACACATAACATTGTAAACGGTCTTTAATATAAATCATTTTGGGCTTTTTTTGACAAATGCTTTAAACAGAAATTACACTCACATTTATGGAAATGGTTTGAAACGAAAAAGAGGGACACCTTGTAGATTATAATAACTAGTTTTACAATTCTTTGGACTCTTCACAAGCACACGATGGGGTTATAAACAATGGTTTTATCACTGATCAGATATGTGCAAACGTGTAAGAGGCGATTTTGACAATCTAAGTCAAGGAGGGGCAAAAAGCAAGCGGATTTATTAATATTATACCTTTTAACTGAGCAACCAGTCATCAGTAGAACAGTTGAGGTCAGAAAGAATGCTTCAGATTGTTATCTGTTTGTTACCTCTTGTTACCAAAAGTAACTATCTAGCTAACAGGGATAATTACAGGGTATCAAAGCTCTGTGGTCACAGTCCGTTTAGACAGGGGATAACACCCCATCATGAAATTAATCACTTAAATATTGTCTGTTGATAACGCAGTGAGCAAACATGCTTTGTGTTTAAGTAACACAATCCATTCATAAAAGAGGGGCGGTGTTATAAAAAAATAACCAGATAAGTTGTTAACAAGTGTTACTTTTGGTAACGTCCCATTTTTTCTGGGCTCAACTGTAACTGTTGCCCCCTGAATTGGGGCATGTACATATGTACTACACACTGTAGTGCGTGAAGGGTACATGACCGCTTGTACTAACGACCATATCAAATATAGTGCATGCTATCACTACTGACTAGGTACAGTTTTAACAAAACAGTTCAAGGTCCCAATCACCTGATCATCTGCTACCACACTATAAAGACAGCTAGAGATATCTATCTTATATTCACTATTGAACTATTTGCTGAATGGTTGCCTTGTGCTCTAATGTTACAATATGGCCGAGGCGCTGGCAGCAGCATTCACGGATAATCTCTTGACATGTAGCATCTGTCTGGGAGAGTATGAGGACCCCCGTGTGCTACCTTGCTACCATACATTTTGCTATGGTTGTTTATGTAACCATGCTACGCAGGCTGTATCTAGGGACGGGACATTTTTGTGCCCCCTTTGTAGAGAAGTGATAAAATTCCCAAGGGAAGGACTTGTGAAACTGAAAAAAGATTTCCGTATTCAGAAAGCAAAAGAACTTCTCAGACAACGACAGCAGCATGAAGTCCCATCTCAAATCAAAGGCACTGATGTGTACCGAGTGACGCAAGCCATTGCACGAATGATCAGCAAATGTGAGAAGCATCCTACAAATGAATTGAAATACTACTGTGAAGACGATGATACAGTTGTATGTGGTGACTGTATACCAAAAGAGCATTATAGACATGGTATTGTGCCCGTTGAGCTTGTGGCAAATAGCAATCGGAAAAAGATTAAAACTGTCCTTATGAAAACTGAAACAACACTGAAAATGTTTAAAGAAGCAGTTGCCAAGGACAGAACCAATGAATTGGAGGGGGTCAACACGGAAGATACCATCAACAAAATTAAAGAGCAGGCTCTATCTATCCAAAGACTGGTTCAGGAGAGAGCGCAAAAATTGATTTCAGAAGTAAGTTTTGCTTGTGATATCAGTAAAAAGCAGAAAGAGGCAAAAAAGGACAATCTTGAACTCAACCATGCCTCCTTACTAAGTGCCTGCAGATTTGCCCAGGAACTTATAACACATGGTTCTGATTCTGACATCATGCTTCACACTAAGGCTCTGACCGAGAGACTGACAGCCATGGAGAAAATGCCAGTACCAACTCCAGACACACCAGTACAGATATCCTACAGACCCGGTAAGATATCTACTGTTGGGCTGGAAGCCATGTTGGGAGAGGTGATAACACAGTCATACACTCCAGTCGCTGATGATGAAACAATTCCTAAATCACCAACGCACTCTTCCTGGCGTGAAGACATGTTAGGACAGATGTTAGGACAGTCAAAACCTTCAATCGCTGATGAGGAAACAATTCCTAAATCACCAACGCACTCTTCCGGACGTGGAGCCATGTTGGGACAGGCGATAGTACAGTCAAAACTTCCTACCACTGAAGAGGAAACAATTCCAAAATCAGCAATCCATTTTTCTGGACGTGAATCCGGGTTAGAAGAGGTGATAAAACAGTCAAATCCTCCAATCGCTGAAGAGGAAACAATTCCTAAATCACCAACGCACTCTCCCGGACATGAAGCCATGTTAGGACAGGTGTTAGGACAGTCAAACCCTCCAATCGCTGAAGAGGAAACAATTCCAAAATCAGCAGCACACTCTCCCGGGCGTGAAGCCGTGTTAGGACAGGCGATAGTACATTTACAGCGTCTTAGGCCTCCTAGATTAGGTGTAATGAACTTTTTACATACTCTGCTGAATCCAAAATCAACATCACCTTCTCCTCTATTTTTAGAGAAGGCAAAATGTGTGCATTCCTTCAAAGCAAGGATGAAAGATGACAAAAGTGACACGTTGATAACTGGGCTGGCCATATCTAAGCAACACGTGATTACTGTGCATGGAAAAAATTATGTTAGTAAAGAAGGTAATAACAAAACAAAAGTATTCACACATGCAGGAGAATTCAAATTTGACATCACACTAAATCATGCATTTGATGTGGCTGTGTCACAGACTGGTCACCTGTTCATAACATCACGGGGTGACAAATGTGTAGAAGTTTACTCCACTAGAGGTCAGCATGTGACAACCATGGGTCGCGGTAAACTCGAGGGTCCACGTGGTATCACAATCAACAGACAAGGCCATGTGATGGTTTGTGACAAAACAAAGGCATCCATATTCACATTCCATGCAGAAAGTGGGCATATCCTGAACATTATTCCATTGAATGTTCAACACCCCTTGTACGTAACAGTGAACAAGGTGGATGATAACATTGTGATATCAGACTATGGCAGTGACTGTGTACGTGTGCTGTCACCTACTGGCGGTCAGCTGTACCAGTATGGCACACGAGGCAGTGGTGATGGTCAGCTGTGTGGACCAGGTGGAGTGTGCACTGACAGCTATGGCCACATCTTCATTGCTGACTATTGGAACCGTAGGATAGTGGCACTGAGTCCACAAGGACAGTTGATCAGATACATTGCCACTGCCGATGATGGGTTGGAGCATCCCACAGCATTAGTTGTTAACCCTGCTGGGCAGCTGGTGGTAGCAAGTGGGGGCAAAGTTACGACTTTTCAGTACTTACAATAAATATACTGCTCACATATTGTAATGATCTTTGAAGTGACCTTTATGACATAGTATCTAAGCAGTAGCTGAGAAACCTGCTGAAAAACAAAAATGTTACTTTTCACAATGTACAACGTTTTATACGATGTAAATGGACATATTTTATACTGGCTGAAGAATGGCATTTCACGGTGTACATGTACACTGTAATATACTAGTAAATAATGTTCAAGCCTCATTCTCATAGCATATGCTTTGCTGACCTGTAGTGTCTTAAAAGGAGACATGGTTTGAAGTATATTTAATAGAAATGGCAAATGATAACTTCAAATGCTAGATTATTTCCGTACTTGTAGATAACATTCAATGCCCCCACAAAGAGAGAGAGAGAGAGAGAGAGAGAGAGAGAGAGAGAGAGCGATCATCATTATAACCGTCTCGCTGTTGTAACAAATGAAAAGTCAATGAATCAACTATGATCTTGTGATATACTGTTCATTTCTATAAAAATTTAAAGTACACCTTGGTCTTGTTTTCTTTTTCACGTTCTTTTAAGTCATTTTGAGGTTAAATTGTTAATTAATGATTACCATGGTNGGACAGGCGATAGTACAGTCAAAACTTCCTACCACTGAAGAGGAAACAATTCCAAAATCAGCAATCCATTTTTCTGGACGTGAATCCGGGTTAGAAGAGGTGATAAAACAGTCAAATTCTCCAATCGCTGAAGAGGAAACAATTCCTAAATCACCAACGCACTCTCCCGGACATGAAGCCATGTTAGGACAGGTGTTAGGACAGTCAAACCCTCCAATCGCTGAAGAGGAAACAATTCCAAAATCAGCAGCACACTCTCCCGGGCGTGAAGCCGTGTTAGGACAGGCGATAGTACATTTACAGCGTCTTAGGCCTCCTAGATTAGGTGTAATGAACTTTTTACATACTCTGCTGAATCCAAAATCAACATCACCTTCTCCTCTATTTTTAGAGAAGGCAAAATGTGTGCATTCCTTCAAAGCAAGGATGAAAGATGACAAAAGTGACACGTTGATAACTGGGCTGGCCATATCTAAGCAACACGTGATTACTGTGCATGGAAAAAATTATGTTAGTAAAGAAGGTAATAACAAAACAAAAGTATTCACACATGCAGGAGAATTCAAATTTGACATAACACTAAATCATGCATTTGATGTGGCTGTGTCACAGACTGGTCACCTGTTCATAACATCACGGGGTGACAAATGTGTAGAAGTTTACTCCACTAGAGGTCAGCATGTGACAACCATGGGTCGCGGTAAACTCGAGGGTCCACGTGGTATCACAATCAACAGACAAGGCCATGTGATGGTGTGTGACAAAACAAAAGAATCCGTCTTCACATTCCATGCAGATAGTGGACATATCCTGAACATTATTCCATTGAATGTTCAGCACCCCCTGTACATAACAGTGAACAGGGTGGATGATAATATTGTGATATCAGACTATGGCAGTGACTGTGTACGTGTGCTGTCACCTACTGGTGGTCAGCTGTACCAGTATGGCACACGAGGCAGTGGTGATGGTCAGATGTGTGGACCAGGTGGAGTGTGCACTGACAGCTATGGTCACATCTTCATTGCTGACTATTGGAACCGTAGGGTAGTGGCACTGAGTCCACAAGGACAGTTGATCAGATACATTGCCACTGCCGAGGATGGGTTGGAGCATCCCACAGCATTAGTTGTTAACCCTGCTGGGCAGCTGGTGGTAGCAAGTGGGGGCAAAGTTACGACTTTTCAGTACTTACAATAAATATACTGCTCACATATTGTAATGATCTTTGAAGTGACCTTTATGACATAGTATCTAAGCAGTAGCTGAGAAACCTGCTGAAAAACAAAAATGTTACTTTTCACAATGTACAACGTTTTAAAAGATGTAAATGTACATATTTTATACTGGCTGAAGAATGGCATTTCACGGTGTACATGTACACTGTAATATACTAGTAAATAATGTTCAAGCCTCATTCTCATAGCATATGCTTTGCTGACCTGTAGTGTCTTAAAAGGAGACATGGTTTGAAGTATATTTAATAGAAATGGCAAATGATAACTTCAAATGCTAGATTATTTCCGTACTTGTAGATCACATTCAATGTCCCCACAAAGAGAGAGAGAGAGAGAGAGAGAGAGAGAGAGAGAGCGATCATCAATATAACCGTCTCGCTGTTGTAACAAATGAAAAGTCAATGAATCAACTATGATTTTGTGATATACTGTTCATTTCTATAAAAATTTAAAGTACACTTTGGTCTTGTTTTTTTTTTCACGTTCTTTTAAGTTATTTTGAGGTTAAATTGTTAATTAATGATTACCATGGTTCTGGGCAGCCATAGATATATACCTTTGACTTCTAGGTTATATCATATACTGCCCCTTATAAGGATAAATCAATTGTTCGAACTTTATAGCCATTTGGTTAGATTTTGAATGTCTCGTTTTTCATGAACAAAGCCTAAAAAAAATTAATTTTAATATTAATTAAAATTATTTCAATGTACTAAAATGTAAAAATGAAAATTATGTATTCAAACTTAAAAACGCATACGTACAGAGGGTGGGTGGGTCAGTGACGCCGCAGTCGGTAGCGTGCATGGGCGCAGTCGGTAGCGTGTATGGATGCAAGAAAACAATCCAAAGCGTCACCAGTTGGAATCCCGGGCAGATGATGCACGTCATTCCATAGGGCAGTCTCATGGGGTGGAAACGCGCAACTTACATGATTATGGCGAGCCTAACCGTCAGCTACGGGCATTGGTTGGTAACCTTGACACCAATTAGTGCTTGACCACTCATTGTTACGTCATTATCCATGGTAACTTCCTTCCGGGTAAACAACTATGACTAGTTGGCGTTTGACAATCACAAATCCGTAGTGTCCCATGTGGGATTAGAAAATGGTAAAATTTTTATTAAATATTTTAATTGATTGATTTTCACTTTTTTAAATCTTCCATTTCAACATATTTTATCCCCATGGGATATTTATACTTATTTTATGTACATAATTATATATTATTTTATCTCTTACTTGGTTTGATTATTAACGAAAATGTTTGCATTGATATCAGCCGCTGAACACATAATTGGCAAATCATTTATTTATCGTTTTATTACTGGATAGACTTTTGAAAACTTCCCACTGTTATATAATGGGTAATTTTCATTTCAATACTTGTAAATGTAGTATTATGATGTACCTAAGTATATATGACAATTTATTTTTATTACATTGATTCAATGCTATTTCCAATATATAATTTTATACTACATGTAATAGAGAACAGAACATAAATAAATCTCAATGTGCAAAAATTGGCTTGGCAAGGTGCATTATATTTTGAAATTACAGATGTGAACAGAACTTTATGAACTCTAACTTTATCCTTACAATTACGATGTAATACATAAAGTATTAAAAATAAGAGGTTACATTAGAAAAAAATAAAGTAAACTACACTATACTTTTATACGACTAATAACAATTAGTATGTGAATGCCATCAATGATGAAGAGAAATGGACACAAATTCTTTGACTGAAAGGTATAATGATTTTTATAGGAAACCAGCCAGCATCAGCGACACCCAGTCCTCACTGGAATTATTTTTGATGAAAGTAATCATAAAAGGACCAAGACTTGACATCCCTTATGAACATATTCAGCATAATTTATTGCAAGTGTAGATGAAAAACAGTGGGTAAATCATAACCACCAGCCAATGTCAAATCAATAAAAAGTATGGTGGTAATTTTATAACACAAGCAGTGTAGTAGAAGATACAAGTCTGCAAATGCTAGCCTTTGTCAGGGATGAGATTTTGCCATATATTGACAAATTTGCGTAAGCTTAAAAATTAAAACAAATTATATGTTAATGATATGAATAAAAAAGAAAAAATGGTAATTAACGAAATGAAAAAGCAATTTATTAGATACCGTAGCCGACCACTGGAAAACTTTATGTAAGAACCAAAATGATTGTATTAAACTTATGGTTTATTGCATCAGATATGCTGAGCAAGCACATCTATCACGTTTCTTTAATAAAAGGACCTCATTAGCATAAGTGAACAGTCCTAGTTGCCACACCCAGGAGAGTGTGGGTCAGTTAGGTGTGTGCTGCAGAGGAGTGCAGAAGTGCAGAAATGCAGTGGCATTATTTATGTATTTACCCAGTAGAAGAATAATGGTAAGATCTTTATGCCAATTTTGTACACAATGTATATTAACAGCATTTCTCTGTTTATATTATATAGTTTTATTAATTAATAACCAAGTTAATAATTGTATTTTCATAAACTCAGATGTTATGTGAGAAGTAAGTGGTGATACAAATAAGTGACAGTTGTATTTTCTTTGTTTTAGTTACACGGCTGTTTCAAGCTGAGGCTGTTTCAAATAAAGCTCATGTAAAAGGAATATGCCCGTTGTCATTTGCCTCGTTTTTCTGTGGCCCCTAAGAGCTACACTTTATAAAGCTCTGAAGTAATAAATCATAAATAAACAGGCCACATTTCAGTACCGTGGGCTTCCCTTTTCTTATTCTTTGGTATTTCTTCCCCGAGTTCTTCATGGTGTGTAGATGCTCTGAAGAGTTTTCTGCAAGTGAGGGCGCATTGCATCATATTATTGTTGCAGCCGTAGTGATAAGCCGCCATATTTCGGTTACTTCCACCACAACCCCTTGGTAACGAGAACCAATTTTCAACTACATCTTGGCTCAATCTTTTTGGTATGATGTAGCAATATAGATATTCCTTTTGAAATTTTTCACTAGAAATATAGGTAAGTAGGTCTTTGAAGCCGGTCACACTAATTTGCAGGTCTTCCATGGTTTGGTACGTAACGGATCGCTTTTTCATTTCAGCTCTTGTGTAGTAATTAAGTTGTTTCGACATTTTTCCATTCCAAGAACCATATGCATGCTGTTGCAAGTTGAACAGATCTGGGGTCATTTGGGCTGGAAAGGGGCTCTGTGGAATTAAAGATGGCATAAATGATAAGTGACATGTTGTTGCACTGTTGTGTCATGACTGTATGTGCATTGTTATGTTGTTCCATTTCTTGTGATACCTCTGATGCAAGTGTCTGCGCTGCAAGTTTGACGCTCATTTTTGTGAAATTATTGATGAATGCATGACTGTGTTTTAGTTTTGTTACTTGAACTGGTCTGTCTCTGTCTCTCCGGCATGCTTGTATGAAGTGCTCCCAAACAATTGTTTTTCCAGAATGTGTCAGTAGGTGTGTATGTCTGTCAGAGGGACCACTGGAGTGTACATTGTTGGGTAGTTTTTTAATGAGATGGGGTGAATCAGAAATAAAAAATAGTGGTTGATTGGTTATTCCATTTATGGTATGTCAAGTTACCAGTTGGGTCTATGCACTTGAATTAATTCTCACGATTCTTCTATTTTCAGTAGCGCCAGCGCAGATAGAAGAGTTGTAAATCTGAAGATAAAGAAGTTTATCCCCTTTCCAGAAAAGATGATTGATGGTGGTACCTGTCATGGTGTTGGAGATGAAGTAAGCCACAGGACATGAAAATTTAGTGAATAATGATATGAAAAAGAATTGGGTGCAGTGATGAAGATGGGGGTGCTAGATGAGAGTGATCTCTTACGTCTGCTGTGTTCAAGTCTATAAACCCTACCAGCTCATTAGTTTTTGCAGACCAGACGAGTCCCTCTTTAATTTTAACGTCAATCATCGCCAGTGCACCCACTTGGTCTACTACTGAAAGATTTAGTTTTTGTAATAGTGCCACCCTGATTCTGTCATGTTGAAGTGTCGAAAATCGTGTAGTGTTCTGCTGCTTGGTAGTCTTATGTACGCTGATTTGCGCATTTGTTCATATTGTGTTTTGGAGTGATCGTTTGCCAGGAAGTATTTTATGATTGGAGGATGCCTTCTCATTTGTTGGGAATTTTGTAGTGATTGCTTTTTGTTGGTCTTGTAGTAAAATTTCCAAAAAGACATCCTCTGGTTTCCTTGTATGCTGTTCTTTTATGTGAGTAAGTATGGTCGATTTACACCTAAAATGTTTGTGTGTACAGTCATCCCATTTACAAATGTATTTTTTCTCAACGGGTGGGATTTTTGATGGAAAGAGAACTTTATGCAGGCGATGAGAAAGTTCGGGTTTTGTACAAAAGGCGTAGTTTTTGAAATCGGAAGGTTCATGATTTAAATTTCTGTGGACGTTATGTAATGATGATATTAATGATTCGCGAGGCTTCCTGCCTTCATCTTTTGGCAAATAAATGTTATGACATTTATTAGCATGGATTTGCTTTGCACTGATGTTAACATTGGCTAGTGGTCCTAACTTACTCATCTACCCCACATCTTTTTGCTATTAAATATGAATATTTGTCATAAGGGAGGCCAGGACATGGTTGAGTCCAGTCAAGTTTTGTAAGTATTTCAATCAGGTGTTGGGTATCACTGATACAAGCAGGTATTTCTTCTAAAAAAGGCTGGCATCTCCAGGTTTTTGTGGTTTGAATGTATTGTCCATTCCCTTTATCATGGCGATGGCTCTTTCTGCACAGAATGGGTGGATTCAATCTTGCTATGTAAAGATTTTTCACATTGGAAATTTCATAAAAGGTCCATTCTGGAAATTTAGTCTTGACAGTTTCTTTTAGGGTTGTATTATCCATTTGCTGATCCATTGCTTATCTCTCTGTGCTTGCATGTTTTTATTTGCATTTTGTACATAAGAAAGTTTAGATTTTTGATTTTTGAT